ATTACAAGGATGTATTAGTTCATCCTATCTAAAGTGATTAGAAAAAGCTTGCTGAGTTAATTAAACATTTATAATGTCACCTTCAGACTAGCATGCAGGAAAGAAGTCAATATCTTCCCATCATTAATGGCAACAGAGCAGTAAGTTGTGAGCGGCCTGGAATAATCACTGTCATGAAGAGCAAATGGGTACTCGGGTTGCACGTGACAGAAAATGCAATCAACAGCTTCAGTATTACTAATAGAATAAACACATTAGACATGTGCTATTTASTGCTGCCTGATGAGGAGCTCGGTAGTAACATGGGAAGTCTGTCTGAAGCCTGATGTCTGCTGCACCCAGCAACGCTAAATCCTGTCTGTGAAGCACTTGTGCATCTAGAGATGAAGCAATTTCTGCACAAAAAACACCTGCCACTTTGCTAATTATTGCTCTGCACAATACGGACGTAATAAACACTAAAATAAAAAATAAAGAAAGAAAGAAAGAAAGAATAAAAAAAATAAAATAAAATAAAATAAAAAAATAAAAAATAAAAAATAAAAAATAAAAAATAAATAATAAAAAAATAAAATAAAAAAATAAAATAAAATAAAAATCCTAAAAAAGAGAGAAGGGTATATGCCTCTACCTTCCCATTTGGAATTCCAGATGCAAAAATTCAAATCCAGATATGATCTTTCTTATGCCTAAAGACAGTTTGGATTCAGAAACCCATTTCAAAAGCTAACATAAAACTAGCTTATCACTGGTCTGGTGTTCTCCCATCTCGCTCTTCCCACCCACTACACAAATGGTAATCAATCAGCACTTATGCACCCATTAGTCTATTCCTGCTGTTCTTAATGGGGTTAAGCATTACATCCAGTACATTCTGGGACAGCTCAGAAAACGTACATGTACTTTTCATTTATATGAACTTGAAATTCATCAATTTTATAATATTTATTTTAATATTTATGCACAGTAATTCATTATGTATCTTTTCTTAAAACAACTCAGTGTGTCCATTTTTGTTMATTTTTTAGTAACATCCAGAATTTTTATGATAATTTAAAACAGTTACAAATCTTCATATGTATTTTCCTTTCAGTAATACAGAAACAATATGGCATTTGTTAGATTATATATCTTAAAATAACAATACTGAAATGAATTTGAAAAACTGTACTGAATCCAGTACTCCATAAAAGCATCTTAACACTAATATCATCACTAATGTTTATTTAATATGCATTGTTTAGGAATTAGATCTCTAATGTTATATTTATTTGTATATGCAATCCTTAATTATATAAGCAGTCATCTTGTGGAGGATGAGAGTTATCAATGAGGGCTTTTATACAAAGATTCATTTTATCCACAATCTCCTGTCAGCTGTATATATATGATCACAAAATGAGCTCATCAGACTCAGCATCCAAACATTAAAAGCAAAAGGGCTTGCAGATAAGATAATCCATTCAGTTTATCAAGGGAAGCAGAGCATYTCCCGTACCATAACTAGCGAGGTTATGGTACAGAAGATACTACCCAAACTACAGCACCACAGAAGATGCCAAGTGCAGGGGCAGCCCCGTGGAAYTGGCAAACTGAGCAGCATGTGTACAGGTATCTGCACAGGTATCCCAAGTAGAAAGGTAAGAAACCTGCCCAAGAACCAACAACTTACTGAGCTGCGTATTGATTCTTGCTACTGTGGTAGAAAAATACCATTTTTTCCCCCCAAACAGCTCATTTGAGATTGTTTACATGGACCGTGTCAATAGATTTAATCCGTTTGATGCAAAAGTAAATGGCTACCAGGCTATGTGATGCTGTTAAAAATTAYGTAACTTGCGTGTTGTCTCTGCGTTAATTTTAAAGTATTTCCAGCTCCCCGCAAGTGAAGACAYCTGCTTAATAAATGAGAGAACCAAGATCTGCCAACATTTCAGAACTGAAATGTCAAAGTCTTAAACATTTCCTTCAAAATGCATGCCCAAAGAAAAGTGCTCTGGGAAATCCTAGAATATCATCAGAAAGACTGCCCAAGCATTTAGCTATAAGGTCACTCCTGACTACAAAATAACTATAGATATTTTATATCCATTTATATGTGTAAAAATACATATGCATACACACACATTTACACGTGTGTGAACACATTCTGTAACATCAAGCCCCAGAAACCCAGCTTAGTTGGCTGTGATCTCTTTGGCATGAAGCTGAAGAGCCCCAGCAGATGTGGCAGGCCGGGGAAGCGCCCTGGAGGGCCAGGCAGCAATGGTGGCCCTAGTTGCTAGGCCCCGGCCTAGCTGCGGTCGCAGCTCCACCTGGYGAGAGCACCAGGACCACGAGGAAACAAGGAAATGACAGCAATCCCTTGGAAAATGTGATTACTCTGTGGCATCCCTATTAGATTTTTGGAGATAATGCTTTTYCTGATGAGTGTTTAGAGAATAATAAACGGTGGTCTCCTGAGGGCCAAGTAACATGCAGTGACTAAATAAGCTCATTTTTAAAAGTCCAATCACATATCAAAACCTGAGTATTAGCAGGATAAACTMGAGTTATTTTCTGTTTCAGTCAGCACGCAGACTATTGCCTGAATCCTAATAGCCTAAATCAAATTTAGCTTATAAGTCCCGAAGAGTTATTACTCTTCTGAGGTATTTTTATATATCATGSATGTGAGAGTCCAGAAACTGAAAGAACAAACCAGGTGGAAGAGCAGTTCCAGCTACCTATAAATTAAATGGAARCAGATAATTACCCATTACAAATTTAGAATAATATAACATTTCCAAATGCAAATAGAGCTTGATGGCAGTAGTATGAAGGAAAAGCACTTCATTTGTAACACTGGGAAACAGAGCGTATTAACTTCATTSAGAGCAATCCCCAAGAACGTGCTCAGTCTCAGCTACCCAGTTCGCTCAGAGGGGACCCAGTCAAAGACTGTTCACAGCATTTGGCAATGCAGATGGGAGAAAGTTTATATTTGTTATATGAAAGCTTTTTAATTAGCAAAGTTAATAGTATATAATAACTGATCTAGATTCAGGTAATTCAACCTTGCCTATATGCAAAAAAATCCTTTTTTTTTTTTTTCTCCCCCTCTGGTAATAATCTACAGTCCTCTGCAGAATTGCAGGCTACATCCACTCAAAACTAATTTTGAAGTTTTTTATTTCACATACTGTAAGAATTTTGTGGTTAGCGAACAATTTATCTGCAGCCAATATAGACAACGCAGTCAATACAGTCAGGGAGAAGTACAGTAGAAAAAAGGCCATGGAATGTATCCCAGTGAAAAGTCAAATGGCTTCCAAAGCAAAGCACAGATAGAGATTTGGGAAAACCAAGCCAAGCCAAATACAAGCAAACGAAACCTTACATCTACGGCCAAAGCAACTTCTAAATGTGTTGACATCGTAACTAGCTCCTGCTTCTGCCAAGCACCCTAATCATGACAACTAAGTATTCCAGAGGCACCAAAACTAAGGAGATCTTCTCCTAGTGACAAAGTAGAAATTACTGCACAACAGGATTGAATGCCTGACACTGTAAAAATCTCAGGCAACCCAAGGTTAACCCTGCTATTTAAAGATGAACTTTCTAGATAAAGTCAGAATGCAAACACAAACAGAACCCCACACCAATAAAGTAGTACAGATTGAACTTCCATCAACTGCTATTTCTTCCCTCCAAAAAGGAAATTCATTCTGTAAGCAATGTACCTGAATCCCATTTCTAAGAATTATAYAACTCAACTGCACCGCATAAGATGTATACCTCTGAGTCTGAGTTTAATTTGGATGGTACAATCTAATGTAAGTACTCCTTTTTCTAAATCACAAGATCTGACTGAAGTCACTAAAGTCCTATTTGGTAGCTTTCAGCAATAACATCTGATAGTCTATCTGTAAAACATGTATGGAAACATTTCAGAAGATGTAGATCTGTATAGGCAGTTTTCAATGTCAATGGCTTAAAGCATTCAGGGCCATTTTAAAAATTATTTATTGCTTAAAGGTACGTCATTAGATATCTCAAAATGCAAAAAGTTCCTTCAGAACTTTTGAAAATGTTATATAGCTATTATTTGCCAGAGATCACTAAAGCACCAAAATGTTAAAAGAGTTCTTCTCCGAGAAGATAAAAAAGTTTTTTGCCTGGAAAGTTATGGGTGTTTTTGCTATATATGATGAAAACGTATTTCAAGTAATTATTCAGATTGTTTTATAGTCAACTGTTTATTCAGGTTGTACTATTATGTATATGCTCATGTGAGGTAGCATCTCACTGCAGRAATCTATTGAGTGTTAAGAGACCAATGAAACTTTTTAACATCAATGTGATGCTTTGCTTGGTTCTTTGCAAACTGACAGCAAAAAACAATGTCTCCACACTTGCAATGATGCGAAGATGTTCATATTTGGCTTCCTAATACACACTGTTCTTTTGCAAATTTAATAACATGGTATTAGAATAGAGGTAAATACACACATTTCTGGACACTATTTCCACTGCAACAAATACCTGTCAAGGCATTCACTCTTTGCAGTCATTGTTGTCCCACTAGTTTAACTTTTTTTCTGTATTGCCACTAATGAAAAGAGAAAGTATTATCACTAGTCTACTTCTACTACAGTCTACTACTACTACTACTATTCCCAAAAAGCTCTTTTTCCAAATGCCCCAGTGTTGTGCAACGCATGTTGGGGGATGGTCAACCCATTCTCGTCTTGCATGAAGAATGGCTCAGATGACTTATTAAAAGTTTTTGKTTTTTTCCAGTTTCAGGTTTAACTTCTATATATACGCACAAAGTAAAATCGATGGACTGTTTGCCATTGTACTAAAACCTGTTCCGTGAGAGCACTGGTGATTTTGCATTTCATTCTCTCTTGACTCCTCTTCTTTCCCTACTTGGTGAAAATGAGTTTTCCCTGCATGCAGCCAGCTGTTACCTTTCCATGGAGCTTGACCTAGCACTGTACCTGTTCTGCTTTCAGGATATACACGCAGCCAGGGTTGGCCACGTAGGGTCCATCCCCCAGAGGTCTCAGCATGGGCGGCCTGGTGACGACAACCCCGTAGTCCACTTCTTCAAGAACATTGTAAGTGTCCCCGCTGCTTCCTGTCCACTACAACTGCTTAGGGTTCTTCAAGAGCCAAACAGGCCACAGTCACTGCCCATTATGTTGAATCTGGTGGATTTTACCAAGTGGGCCTTGGAGTCAATGCTGATATGTGATACAAAAGTAAATTTACCTGAAAACAGTAAAAAAAAATGATACAACCAGGTGGCTTAACCCACCACAAACACAGCAGTATTTCAACAACAATCATTACRATTATATGGCTTCACCATTTGTAAGTTTTGTGATTCCATCTTGGCAATTGGCCATATTTAGAAATGTTTTCTTCAAAAAAAAAAAAAAAAGGAAAAAGAAAAAGAAAAAACAAACAAAAAACCCTTATCAAATGTGTGCTAGGCAACGGCTATTAATATATTTTCCTAGTGCTTGCTGGTCCTTAGGCAGCACTGAATGGATGTGGTAAGTCTACTCCCACCTGTGAAACGCCTCACATTCTTAGATATCTTTTGAAAACATAAGCAGGAGAGCCCAACCTTTTTCTCCTGATGACCTCATTTAAGAGGATAACAMTTTTGTTCAAGCTCTAAACTTAGCTGGTTTTGCACCACTAACATTCTCACAGAAAATACTTGGGAAAGTTGGAATTTCCTCACAAAAGCTGGCATTTAAAACCATGAATTTAACATCCTATCAGTTTGGAGTGGGACAGAGTTAGCACTGGACTTAAAGTGCAAGACATACAGTAGGTTAAAAAATCATCAATAAAGTTTTTATGATAGAAAAATACTAATGCTGCAATTCATTTCTGAGCCATCCTTTAGCCATGGCCATTTTTAAGTATTCACAAAGCAAAGAGCAGCAGGATGATACTAGACAACAACTAATGCCAAAGGGGTAAAACTTTCAGATGCAATGCAAACATCTGATGATTCTGTACACTTATTGCTACTTTAATAAAAGGTTTTGTGCTGATTTCCAGGTCTCACCCCGTACTCCTCCTCCAATGCAAGCAAAGGTAGGTGTCTGCAGGCGCTCACGCTATGGCCAGTACCTTTTGCAAACAGTAACCCACATGAGCTGGTGCRAGTATTTAAAGCAAGGGACTAAAACGGAGAAGCTTCGGTTCTGTTTCTCACACATTCCCTGATTTGCTTCAAGATCTTTAACAAATGAAACCCATTCACAAGGATCTTATGTATTCAGACTCCACTGTGATTACTTACGTAACTCACTAATAATAGGCAGTGCTTTCAAACCAACTTCACACCACAGTCTGTCCTTATGCTTGCTAAATTCAGCCATCTCTAAGTACATGATACTGACAAACCACCACAGCTAATGCAGCCCTTTCTTGCCGGTTAAACTGACAATTTGCCCTTTTTCATCTTATGGAATAACTCTACGGATTGCTGCTTTCCTTGCCTCATTACGTGGCCAACGTTTTATTTCATTTTACTGCTTTTGTGTCTTGTGTGTATCATGCACCCCAGCCTCTACGTTCCATAGTGATCATCATGCCATTGTTTCTATTTCTTACATGTACAGGGAAGAGGATTATCCCTCGCCAGATTTAGCTGGGTAGGTGACGAACGTGCTTTCAATAACAGGCATTTTATTTACCAGGCCAAAGCACATCTTGCTCCAATGCCTCAAGCTGCYGCAGCCACGTGATAATTTTGTTTTGTCTCTATTTTGCTATTTTGCTTTTCCTGTCCCATTTTCCTCCCTCCTCCCACAGCAGTTTAAGATGGCAATTTTGTTGCTTGCTCTCATCCAGCAACTTGACAGCCCTGCAGTGATAATTTCTCCTGCTTTAGCACGAAGAGAGCAAAATCTACCGCATGGCAAAACTCTCTTCCTTTAAGACTCCTAGAGGACTCACTCATCTACCGCGTTTTTCATTTATGGGAAGGGAATAAAATAAAAGGGAGGGCTGGGACAAGATGGGAACTTGTTCCACAGTTTCAGCTGTTCTTAAAGACTAAGTGTTGCAAAACTAACACTGTTACTAATTCAAATATTTTTGCCTTACCTTTCCTTAGTAAGAGGAAATCTGCCTAAAAGGTTGTTAAAYAAGTTCTTTCTACAGTTATCTCCCAAATTTGACTTTTCTACAACAGCCTTGATTTTATGAGACCAACATGTAAACTACAGAGGTTTTAAGACAATGTGTTAAAGCTTTAAAATTCTTAAATATTTCTTCTACTATTTATTAATAGAACATGATTTAGTTGTTGTGTTTACCGTCTTAGAACCTGTGAAACTGAGAAATGTCAGTTAACATGCTGATATATTAGCCTGCTTTCACTTTTTTTTCTATATTTTCTACAAAGCATAAAGCTCTGTACCTCATACTTGGATAAAACTGTTTGAAGCCAATAACCAGCAGAATTTCTATTTCCTTAAGGTCTTATGACATTATGACTTCAGGATGTGCAAACCTTCTTTCCAATTAGCAGCAAACTGAATTATCATGCTGGTTATTGACAACAGGCTACTAAAAACTTAAAAAAAAAAAAAAAAAAAAATCCATCCAGGGGGCTCAGCAAGCCCCCTGATATTTTCTAGGGTTCTCTCTCTCTCTCTCTCTCTCTCTCTCTCTCTCTCTCTCTCTCTCTCTCTCCACTCATTTTATGAAGTGGGAAACTCTTCCAGGACGTGTCCTTCTGCTTTGTATCCTTTTGCTGACATTGGGGCAGGCTCTAAATACCTGCATAACTAATATCAAAAACATTGTTACTACAGTAATTCCACAATCATACAGCACTTGGATCCTAATAAAAGCTAAAGACAACTCACTCTTGGCTCCAAAGTTAGCAGATCTTGCCATGTTTTCCTTTTTAAAGGACCAAGAGTACTTCCTGAATAGAGCTTCTTACAAAAAATTAAAAGTTCAGAAATTAATTCCCTACAAAAAAGATAAGTCCTCTTTCTTCATTATCAAGGTGGATAATCCAAGCATTTATCTTTGGCTTATGCTTTTACCATTTTAGTATATTATTATATACTAATAAAATTCTAGCTCTTGGATCAGAAAGACTAAACAATTAGGCTGAACTCCACATTACCACTCTTGCTTTTTGGACAAAACACTGTAATTGTAAAAAATACCAATTTTGTGTGGATGGCATCTATGATTTTGAGAGCTTCATCCTCTGCTTCAAATGTTGGAGGCTTCGGGTGACATTTGACAACAGTGCAGAACTGCAATACACATACTCTGATTAACTTCTCAGAAAACATCCTCCCATGACATGTACCTGGCATTGCTTGTACTGAAGAGTAGCATGGTACTTGAGTCTCGCACTCCAGCATTTCATAAATATGTTCAATAAAATAGACACACAACAAAAAATCATACCCACTTACTGTTCTGCTGTTGCAAGTCCAGAACAAAAATCATCCAGTAAACAGAAAACCAGTTCAAAACATTCTGTTTAGATTGGATTATCAAGAGATAGTACCTGCAATGTTTGTTGATTTAGTATCATGACCGTGAAATCAGTGAGGTTTTCTTTATCACAAATACCAGGCAAGGTGGCTCAAAGCCGACAAGCTTTCCCCTGCTCATCTTCCCCATGTTCACARGGGTAATCCCATAAGCTGCAGAGACAGCAGGGATACAGCATGTTCAGGTCAACTGGTGACATTTGTGACAAGTTAGTGACATCACCATGGCCAAAATCACAATTTTTAAAATTTTTTAATTTAAAATCGTATTTCTTTCAGTTCTATTAAATGAAGGGCATTTGAGAAACATTCTTTTACAAGGCAGAAATAAAGTGTCTCTTTTTTTTTTCCTCCTCATAACATGCATCAAAGAATAGACAGGACTAAAGAGTAATTTGGAAATAATCTGAAAGGTAAAGTCCAGTCTGAGAGCAAACATGATTTGAATCATGGTAAGTTTTTATTCTTCGGCCCTCTCCTTATGCGCTTGTGTGTTGTGTTCAATACATTTTTAAACGAATTCAAATTCAATTGAGGCTTCCTTCTCATGTCCTATAGCTGTTGTTACTACTTTTCAACTGCTCTTCACTTTTTGATCTTTTTCTTCCTTCTTTACATTGGAGTGTTCACTTCTGATTAATTCCTCTTTTGCAGAATGCTGCTTGCCCTCAGATTTGAATATGTTCAGATCCTAACGTCTTCCTTGCTCCTCACCTAAAGGAATATTTCATTTTCAACATTTTCAAATTCCTAATACAAGTATTATATTGCAGCAATCAGAGACTATAGTGTGCTTATGATCATTTGAATACGACAATATTTAATATATGTAAAAATCTTTCTTTGCAGGGTGGTGAAGGACACAAGCCAGGATATGGAAGTGGAAAATTCTATGAGCACAAATCGGCTCACAAGGGACATAAGGGATCCTATCATGAGGGCCAGGGCACTCTTTCCAAGATCTTTAAACTGGTAAAGTTCAACTTATTGCAAACCCAAAAATTGAGTCTAGGGGAAAGAGAGGAGAAAAGCAGCTACTAAATTTCCATGAATAAAATATAAGTTTATCTCATGACCTAGTAGCTACTTACACGACACAGACGAAACAGGTAAAAGTAAACTGCCAGTCACTATCAGGAAGGAAGGYAAGTTAGCAAAGTCCCATGAAGACCTCTGCTAGGATCTGTGTTTATCAATACACTGACAAATGATCTAGTACTCCCCGAAGATCGGGGACAAATCTCGCTGCTGCTGAGAAACTACTCAGGGAGTGAAAATGGAAGCATCTGAAAAGCTCCTGGCAAGTAGTGTAAGGTATAATTTGAGAAATCCTGCTTTCAGTTGCAATGGCATCTCCAGGAGGCCCTGCCTATTCCTACTCCAGCTGTGAGAACTCCTAGAGCACTTTGGCCCAGTGCCTTGTATGCCAGATAAGGCAAATTAGAAAACTTATGTGACATAAAAAATAAACATTTGGCCAGATCTTTAATTTGGTTCAGTTCCCCAATTTGATTCATCACATCAACACAACTAACAAGCAAAAGTGGACCAGGAAAAGAGTAAGTCAGGACTGGGCTGCGAACAAATATTCCCTAGCTGTCTACTAAAAAGTAGAAGACTTAAGAGCAAAAACAAGCACCTTTTTCACACAATATAGAATTCAAATTCAAAAAACACATCAAGCAGTTAAGTCTTGTTTTCACCTGCATGCATCTCCATTAAAATCAGCAGTTACTCTAATGTAAATCCAGAGCATTTCAGCAGAATATAGTCCATACGTTTTCACTTTCTGTGTGAGGAAAAAGAAATATGAGGGACACATCATATGCAGCTGCAAATGACTGCACTTCTCCTCCCAGGCACTGAAACATTCACTTATAACAAATCATCTCATACACTGTTCTCACATAAAGCATGAAAGCTGCAGTAATCTTAACTTCAAGGCAGAAGATCAGAGAACCATTAGCATAACTTATCATTTCTAGCTCTTACTCTCCAATAAGAGACATAATGGCACCTCAACTATGGTAAAAACACACACATCTTTCACTGTAGAAGTGTTTAAAATACACGTAGCACTAAGAGACAGCTAAAATACTTCAGTAAGGTAATAAGAATTCTTAAACTAGAATTTAAGAAAATGACTGAGTTCTTCATGCCTGGGTAAAGTCATTAATTCACCATATTTCCATAAGTATAAAATTTAAGTATAATTTTCTCTGCACTGGAAGCTTTTCTTGGGGGAGTTCAGAAATGCATTAACAATAATTATTATGATACATTTACATTACTTGTACAATTTACCTTTTGAAAATCTGAAAAAGATTCCCCTCTACCTCAAAGTTTAATGTTCTTGCATTTTTACGGGATCTTTCTTTTCCTATTCAAAGGCATATTCTTATTGTAAAATAACCCCTAATTCATCCCTTACTATTTCATATTTCATTCTGCATTTGTGGTTTCCATGCAAGTCTGATCCTCATATAACTGCACAGGTTAGTAATTTACCCAAATCAATATTACAGAGCATAATGCCTACATTTCAATTCTCACAAACACCAGCTGTGACAACTTATACGCAAGGTTTGCATATTTTAAGTATATACGCAGTTCAAGGGAAATCCAAAAATGTTCAAATTTCTAAACTGTCCAAAGAAATAAATGCATTACTTTCATTTTCCTCTTTTAAGTGGAAATTCAAATAACATTCAGGAGAAGTCTAAGCAATGTATAAAGTACAATCAGAACAGTTTTCATTAGATAATATTCAAAGTGTTGTCCTGCTACCGATGGGTATTTGCAATTTTATAGCCGTAAGAGTTGGGTACCTTCCAACTAGCTCAGCTCTGCTCTTCCTTTCACAGGGAGGCTCTGGTTCCCGACCTGGATCGCGATCCGGCTCCCCAGTCGCCAGGCGCTGAAGCTCTCGGAGGGCCCTCAAGGATCGTGTGCTCAGCTTCACCGTGTAACTGCCTTAAAATGAGTAACTGCAGGAATTACCTAGATAGATGCAATCCATTAATACATGCCAATTAAGTTCTGCATGCAGTAGATTACACAGACTTCTATTGGCAATCCCTGCCCAACAGTTGAATGAGAGGAACACACAAAGTAGCTTTACTCAAGGTTTTCCTTGTTTTACGTAAAGTAACAAGATCTCTGACTTGACTCCTTCTTCTTCAGGATGCCCTAACCATTTGCTAGACCTCATTATTTCTCCCCAGCATCTAATTTAAGTGCAAGTGTTCGGATTTCGTTTTACTGAGCATCAGAGTTATAAAAATGGAGCTAATGTCTTGGGTAACAAGTGCCGCTGTTAGTGAATTTCTGAAACACTGCTGCAATAAAAATGTATATATAATCCACTATGTGCAGAAGCTGTGAGGACTGTTTATCCAAGTACTTTTTTTTTGATTTGGGTTTTTGGATTTTCGTTTCGTTTTAATCTTCCTTCTCTCACTCACAGAATAATTTACTTTTCRTAACAGGATTAGGCAGTCACGGAAAGGCTACCAAACACTGGGAGTTCAAGGTACGTGCAGTGTGGGAGGGGGCAGATGTTGTAGAATGAGACGCAGAGCTATAGTGACACGGAAATTCTTTCCATGCTATAAACTGCTCATCAAACCCAAACCATTACAGCGACGAGTGGATGAGGGAGAGAAAGAGGATTTCACATTTGAGTTAGACTAATGTCAAGAAACAAGGGATTTTTCCCAAAGAAACATCTGAGATTGCACCCGTGGCCACTGCAAGTCACGGTTGCTCCACACAAACTTTGCTGCAACAACATGAACTTAGCAGTATATTAAGTACATAAATAAGTCTAATTTCTGAAAGAAAGCCCTTCAGTACTGGTATTTAAGATAGTCCTGCACATTTCATGTTAGAACTACGAATCTTTTCCTAGGTACTGCAGCAGTGTTTTACTTGGTAAACTCATCTTTTGACTGAATAACACCTGGATGCTGGTTAATGGCAGCGCACCAAAGCAAACTCATAGTAAACTACTGTGAACATTTAACTGTTGTACTGTAGTTGCCTTATAGAAATAAATTATAACTGCGTTAGATATAGACATTAATTGTTTACAAATTACTAAAATGAATGTGTGGCAATGGTTATTTCCAACCACATGCGGGGGGTRAGGGGAGGGAAAGGCTCTTCTGAATTGCACTGTTTTATTACTTACTATTTCCTCAAACTGTTCTCCAAGTGTCTGATTAATTTTTATGTTTTAGCCTATGCATTGTAGACTACAATTAATGCTTCCCAGGTTGAAACTGCATTCCTAATGAATGAGTGCCCAGTAAAAGTTACCTATATATATATTGTTAATTATATTGTAGGTTTAAACCAGTGTTCATTAATATGAGGCAATGTAAAAGGAGAGGATAGAAAAGACATAGAGGCTAGAGAAAACATCAAAATTATTAAGCATACATACACCTATTACATCTTCTTTACCTACACTGGTTGCTATGTGTGTTTATCTACTGTTACTTCATTCAGATGTGTACTCTGCAACGTAATAGTCTATTTAATTTGAACGTGTATTGTTCTTATAGGAACACAGCCTAAAAAAATCATTATTGAAATAAAGTAATCAACTTGTAATGAAACTTTGACAAGTTTTGTTTTGTAATATAAAATGTTATATACAAAATGTTCTTTTTTCCCCCCCAAATTATGAACAATGTTTAAGATACTGAAAAGCAACACCTTAAGCAGGACTCAGTTGCCTACACATAAGGTTCTAGTAACATTGCAGCTGACTTACCACAACCAACACAACCCTTTCGGATACCCTAGGACGCCCTAGACATCAGGGTGGCAACCGGACACAGGATTTATGGGAGACACCCTGGCACGGGATTTATGGGAGACACCGTCTCCATGCAGCAACAGGCCACGGGCCAGGGGATACTGCCAGGTATAAAGAGCCCACAGTTAGGCACCAGAATCCTGCACTCAGGAACAACACAAAGAATCTTCTCTGAAAAGGGGAGGAGAAAAATCAAGCTGATTGAAAGTGGCCTTCAACAACTGGAAAGAGTATTTCAGGTGAAAAACTAGAAGGTAAATCTTTCAGATTTGCTGCGTTATGGAACCAGAAAACTTAATGCAACGGTTTTCCCTTTCCTTCATCACTCTCATCTTCCCCTAAATGACCTTTCCCAGAGGCTGGAAGTGGGGTGTGTTTTCTGCTTTACTCTCTATGTAAAAAAAGAGTATATTATTTCATACAACTACCTTAAAATAGCAATTTACCAACAGACGTCTCTTGTAGGAGACTGAAGCTTTTACGTAAGCTTATTCTTTTAGCTTGATGAACATTAATTCAGACAGGTACATGTCTTGCGAGCAAATGATTCATTCCTGAAATACAAGCAGACAACCTGCACTTTCAGTGGGTCATTTCTAGTACTAGGGGAATGGACAGAAATGGAAAAATAGAAAATCACAAGTCAAACACTYGGAGGCCATAGGAAAAGGGCTCCTTCTATATCTCAATAAATAAATGACATATCTACTTCAACGGGGCTTTTGAAAGCAGCAAGACAAGTGTGACAGTCTCTGTCTGTGGAGCACACGGAACAGACAGATCGCTTTGAAAATCTCCAGTTCACCTTTACCAAGTAACCCGGGCTTTGCTGCTGCACTGCGCCTGCGTGGCAAAGGGAAAAACCTCTCCATCAGAATGCTCAAGACTGGACTCTGGAAATTCACAAATGGAGGCTAAAAAAGGCCAATTAAATACAGTCTTAAAAAAAAAAGTTTAAAATATCAATTTATTATAACTCACAAGATTCCAAGTGCTGAAGGAGTAGCAAATTCAATTCAAAAAAAACAYGCTGCTGGGCTACTTAACTCACGTTGCTGGTCATTCCCAACACTGGTAACGTGCACTCATCTCCTGAGATCCAGATGTCAAAGCACTTCAAGACAGGTCCATTTTACAACAGCATCCTTCCCCTCAGGAGACCTTGTACTCACCACCACTGGTTTTTACTTGCTGCCAAAGTAATCACACACAGCTAGGAGAGACAAACACTTTGGGGCATTCAGGAAGGGCCTGCCTATTGAGAAGGACAGTGCTACACGTGGATGTGACCAGCTGCAGGACAGTTTCATGTCCAACTACAGGTGGAGATCTCTGGAAAGTGTTACGATGTACTCAAGCAAATAGATTCCAATAAATTACTCTGTGTTTATGCAGGGTTCTCGGGAAAAATGTGAAAAGGTTTTACAAGTGGTATATACAACACAGCATATTAGAAATTACCCAGGGTTAAGATTACATAATTCAAAATATATTATTACACATAAACAGGATGCGACACCAGGGGCTGAGTATGCCCAGAAAGTGACTGCAAAAATGAAATGCACAATGAAATAATCAGTTTATAGAGACTTTTTTTTTTTTTTTTTTTTTAAAAAAACCTCTTTCTGTTATGCACGAGCCAATGAAAAGAATACACAAGGCAGAGTTTGGAAAAAAAAAGTAGTATTATTTAACATGTTTTTGAATTAAATATTTCACATAACAAAAGTGTTATTTTCATGTCACCAACTATTTTACTTATATACATATGCCAAAGAGTTAACAAAAGAATTAAGAGATGCCCTATCAAAACCAACAGTGATTTCTTTAGTCAGGAATCCGAAATAACTGGTTGGTATCATAGACAAAGTATAGACAATATTTACACAACGGGGCTTGGGGGATCTGTGGAAAATTATTTTCAGAAAGTAAATTAAAAATCAACTCTGTATTAYAGTAAAATGAATCCACCACTGATCTAGAAATGCTTGTATGAAACTGAGAAGATGAACTTCCTGGAACTGGGATAAGTATTTACAAAATATACTCATTGGCCACACAGAGGCTCATATAACCTTATATATATATATACATACACGCATATATATACACACACACACACATATATGTAACAAATAAATAAAACTCAAAAGAACAAAGAAAAAAGCATCTTTGGAATGTCTCAAAAATGACTGTTTTAACTCCAGTGTTTCTTTGTTACAAATATACTTACAGGGTGGCACCTTTCAAAGCAGTACGTCCTTAACTAAGTAGTTTTGCTGAAACAATGATTTAAACAAGAAGAATGTAACAAATTTCCAGAATTCCCAAAGAAAATAAAGATAAACTTTCAGATTTAAAAGAACTGTTTACAGACAGGTGACTAACAYAGAGGTGACCCAGCGCAGCCAGTTTTCCAACTGCTGCAAACACAAAATGTTATGTTTACTTCCCAGCTGTAAGCCGTGGCTGTGCTTTCCATGGATAATGAGATAGGCACCTGCTGACCCACCACAGCAGACAGAAGAGGTTTGGATTTTAACTTCTAGCTTGCATTCGCTTTAACTATTGCTGAGTTTAAACCCTCAGATGTTTTAATGTAACAGGTATCAACTGCCTCTGCGGTTGGAATGCCAATGAACCTGCTCCCTCTTGCAAGAGTTTAGCTGTGGAAATGCCCAAAAACCTCACGGGATTTTTTTTCCTGACAAATTCTCGTAATGCACTAAAAGAAGCTTAACAGAAAGATAGCATTTTCCCAGGCCTTACTAAAAAAAAAAATATATGCATGCATCTAATTATTAACATTTCATTTCCACCTCCAATTATTTCTTTAAACCTTTAAGAAAAAGAAAAGCTGACTGAGTTTCATTCATGATTTTCCTGTATTTTTCTCCTTTAAAGATGGGAAACATTCTATTCTGATATGAAGTTCCAGTTTATTTTCCAATTAGATATGCTGACTGTGAATTAGAAGATGAAGAAGCTCTATATAGTATTACCTGAGTTCATTGATTCATAGACAACTTAGCACAGATTAAACAATGCTTTCCCAATATTTTTCTACAAGCTTAAAAAAGACATTGATTCTTTTAGGCAATTTTTGGAAATAATTAAAAAAACTATAATATATTATTCTATTGTTAATATTTTCAATGCTTGAAGCTTCAATGGTAAAATCYATCTTTTACTTTTCTGAAAACTTATTTAGAGAAATTCAAGTCCGGAAAGCATTTTCAGCTTTCAAATTTTAAGGTGTCATCGAAAAACGTTGCCTATACTTTGCCATTCATTTGAAGATTCTTGTACCACCTCTTCTAAATTCAAAGAACGACTAATATCTTCACCTTCTTGCTCCTGATGGCTAGCAGGTTCTTGTACAGGACCTACCGAGGCACATGAGAAAAAGAAGAGTGAGTACATGAATGGAGTGCCAGAAAAATGCAAACACAACATTTAAGAGATGATGAAATTATGAAATTAAGTTGACAGAGGTATTACACAACCACTACAGATTCTGTAAATCCACTAGGCACTACTTGAGTGTTTGAGTGTATCCACAACTGTAGATAATGGATTATATAGTTTTTGAATGCTATATTCTCTTATGCTCTACATAAGARCAAGGAACCAGAAGCACTAACCCATCTCTGCTTTCCAAGCTACTTTTGGAGTTTTGCAGGCAATTATTAGCTTATTAGGTCTGCTCTTTGGCTCTATACCCCATTTCTCTGTAGCTCAGTAGCAACACCCTGTGCTTTCCTGGTGAAGATTATGGCTTTCTGCACTCACGATTATTAGTAGTATGCTACATACCAGTGTAACCATGAGCCCGTTTCATATGGAGTTTCATATTGCTTTTCTGTGTAAATCCCATTGCACAATAATCACATTTATAAGGCCTCTCTCCTGTGTGCTTCTTCATATGAACTTGAAGAGCACTCTTCTGGTTAAAAGCCTTTTCACAGAGGGTACACTGAAATGGCCGTTCCCCTTATAAAAGAGAAAGAAACACACTTAGCTTTTAACTTAAATATATGGTTCAGCATACAGTAAAAGGTATCGTTAAAATGACCTAGAAATTAAAGGAGCCAACTACTTTTCTTAAGTCTATCTCAAAACAGAATTATGAATCTGGATTCATGATTGGCAACAAAACCCAAACRCAATATTAAACTACTTAGAAGACTCTGAAATCACAATAAATTGACAGTGTGATTTTTCCCAAGTAACATAAATTATCTTTAACCAAGTCCTTCTATATGAATCATACACACCTGAAGTACAGTAATTCCAATAGGCAGCTGTTATCAGTGATGAATTATACTGTTTGCTGATAAACTTCTGCAAATTCCCATCACCATGACCGAGAGTTACTTCTTACCTCTCAAAAGCTGTAAGTGCATGAGCAGGCCCACTAACATTAAAAACTATCCCATTCTACCTGCATTGACAACTTCTCTTCTGCTGAAATATAATCCAGTTGACCTAAGCACTACATCCCTTGGCCCGCTGCAGTATTTTGCAACCTGATATAGAAGGATTTCAGCCCTTTTTGAGCTCAAGACTCACTCATGTTCATCACCTCCTTTGAATCCCCTTATCTTCCTCATGCAACACCTCTAACTTGCTCTCAGGATTTCCAGTTCTCAGGACATCTTTAGCAAAAGGACTCAATCCCAATCCATAAAATGCATTAACCTCATGAACCCTGTGTTCATCCTCTTGTCTTTTCCTGCTTAAGAAACCTAATCAGCAGCTGAATAAAATGTGAAACAAACAGGACCAGCACCTACAACCTCTCTTGCTCTCAGTTGCCTAACTCCTACTAAACAGYAATACCCCCAAGTTCAAACACTGTGCAAATTGCTGCTATTTGCCTTTGATAGTATAGGAGTCGTGTGCTGAAACTCAACCATTGAAATGGGCCAAAATCATTTCACTGAAGCAAAGCAGGTAAAGCCACAGTAGGCTGCATGAGTTAATTCGTGCCCAAATATCTGCAAGTTGCAAGCTCAWAGAGAACTTTTAACAAAAAAATGAGCACTTCCTTGGAGAAGACAGAACAGTTTTTAGAGTAACAACTGTGGAAAATAATAAAACAGAAAAAGAACACAACAAACTAGAAGTACTAGCTCTAGAACCAGATAAAATGAATAGTAGCTTAATGACAGTGTTACATCGCAAGGAGAAATCAGGGTCCAGATTGTCTCCTATTTAAATCACTGAGGTAATGTAAGTCATTTGCACGCTCTCTTCTGTCTGCTTGAAGAAAATCGAATTCATTTGCTTTAAGCTTCTTTAATAAAGCATATTTTAAAGCACTGTTTAATCCACTTCAGTGACTGAAGTTTTAAGTCCAAGCTCATGCTTTAATGTTCACTGTTGTACTACAGACAGTCCCAAACACGGAAGCAAAAGGGGATTATAGTTTTCTTGCCTTAAACAAATCATCACAATTGTCGATATCCCAATCTGGTGTTTCTCACTTATCTCAAAACACTGTGTTAAAATTTACTTGTTTTTTTAATGCAAGTTGGCATTTTAATGCAGTTACCAGAATCCGTGAGTGAGCATTTCAAATAGTATATCCATAACCAAGATGAACCTTACAAGACAAAAAGCATCTCCAGTGTTACCTGTGTGAATGCGACTGTGTCTCTCCAGCTGACTTGGCTTGGCAAAAGCCTTCTCRCAAGTATCACACTTAAACACCCTCGGCTTCTGGGAGCTCAGCGAGGGCCCAGCCTGGTGGGTTTGCATGTGTTCCTATTGCAGGACAGGAAAAGATACACTTCAGACCATTTCAAAAGGCTTCAGTATTTAATATTCAATAAATAAAAAAAGTTACCCTTTTGAGGATGGAAGCATCTTAAATAGGCAGACATGAAGAAGATGGAAGCATGCGATTTTATTTAYGTATTTACTTTTGAGATTCTGTCTTTATAAATTTTCTCTTTTGTGAGGTTAAGATATTCAGTAACCTCTCGTTGCTGGAAACCTCTGCCAGGAAGTGTATGCATTGCTTCTTTTTGCAGACATTAGTGCTTCATAAACTATCTCAAGCAAAATTAACAACATGTTGCATCAAAATCACAGCTTTATGAAACTTCACAGACAACCACAGATTTGGGGCAACCGGGCATCTCAAATTGGATTTTTTTCCTCCCCTCCCTGCTCCACAGAGTGGAGCCAAATGTTTCTRCAGAACTTGTTTTCACTGGGAAAGCTGCTTTACAGAGGAATAATAAAATGTCTTCTCAGCAAATCATAGGAGATGCATAAACTACAGCTTAGCTACAGCTGAAGGAAACATTTTGTTTTCATCTTGTTCATTACTGCCTGAGGCATGAAAATACTGGAARAGGGTTAAAACCTGCTGCAGAAAGCATCTGAAAGTGGCTGCTTGTTCTGCCTGCCAGGGGAGGAAAAAAAAAAAAAATGTTTTGTACTTGAAAGCAAACAGATGAGCATCCAGCTAGCAGTGATAAAACTTCCTCTGTCTTTTTTTTTTTTTTCTTTTGGAAGAAAAATTTTGATGCAATTGTCTTCCACTGATCTCAGTCCCTTAAGCTTTCCCTGCAAGACACACGCTACTGAAAATAATTCAGGGAAACGGTGAAAAAAAATCTCAGGATCTCAAATTACCGATTTCCAACTAGAAAACGGGAATATGTAAATTCCTTTCTGAAAGAGCCTTTTATCCCCAGCTCATGCATTGGTCTGCAAGCCCCTGAACAACAGGTCATTCAACACAGAACCTCTCCCAAAACCACAGTTCCACTAATCTTGGTAAAACTTCCCATTAAAGACTGCTCACAGCTGATGTGCTGGAACATCTCAGTGAAGAAGCCATTAATTGAAGTGGCTAAGCTGGCTCAAAAAGAGCAATAGCTCTTTGAGAGGATGAGCCCTAGCTAACTSACTGCCAAGTCTCTTGCTGAAACGCCCCAAGACTTAGCTAGGTGCTCTGCTAGCTTGGGTGTGTGCGTGCATGTGCCTGTGTGTGCTTGCACATACACATACAGGAAAAGAAACTGCTGAAATTCCCTTATCAGCTGCTGAATTTCACTCACCAATTTTTTTAACAGGTTGTACAGCGCTATTATCCTTTCAAAAAAAGGAGCAAAACATCATCTTTGGGTAAATGCTGATCTCTCTGGATCTGATGATGAAAAATGGCTCTTTGCAACAAGCAGGAAGCACTTTCTTTTACAAAGCTGAGGTTTCCAGAAGCATCCCAAAGGTGGCAAATAAGACTGTCTTTTTCACACCAGAGATCACCCACAGAGAACACACATCAGGAAGTCATTTTCCAATCTCAGGGTTTATCTATCATCCTTCTATACTCATTGAAATCCTTCTCCGCATTGTTTCCAATATGAGTTGAACTACAGATTTTATTTTAAGTAATAAATGAACTCCTTTTTTGACTTTGTATTTCTAATTTTGTAGTTAATATGTGCATTAAAGTTTACCCTATGCTCCAAAGAAATTCTCTGTTTATATACAATCACTTAGACTCCCTCTCCCAGCTGCACACTTTAGACACCAGAAAAGGATGCCAACTATCCTTCAACAACATACCAAGAAATCCAAAATAAGGGATCACACTAATAACCTGCTACTACCAAATACCTTGAGATGCGTTGCTCGCTTGAAGGCTTTATTGCAGACATGGCAAACGTGTATTCTCTCCTTGCCATGGACTTCTTTACTGTGGTGCATCAACATAGCGGTGGAAGAAAAGGTCTGATTACACTCAAAACACTGGTGCACACGACCCTCTTTGTCTGCTTGCCCGCTTTTAGTCACACCAGGAGAAACCTCGGTCACCTAGAACAAGTTTAGCACAGTCAAATAATCAYACAGACATTCCCAACGGTGCCTTACTTTCCAAAATCTACCCCAGCTTGACCAGCGTTTGGAGAGKATTTGTAACCAATTACTAAAATAAAAGGAAGAATCAAATTGTAAGTGATTATCAAATAGTTTTTAAGTGATTATCAAAGAGTAAGGAAATACATTTCACTGCTCAAGAAACAAAGAATTAAAAATATATTTTTAACCAAAGAAGAAAATATCTCTGATTTTTCTAAGTTTTCTATAACAAAAATATTTCCTATTCATTTAATTGACCATCAAGGAAATTATTTTCACATGGAAGTAAAGCTCTGAACTATCAAAATATGAAGTTTTAATAGTACTAAAGCTCACAGAAGCTGATTTGGGGACTTTTCGTAATTTTCTAAACATAGAGAGTGTTTGAAGGAAGTGACGTTTCTCAAAAAAAAGGCCATGGATTATACAAATATAATTTTTAAATAATTCTTTCTTTCTCTTCACAACTACTTGCTCAAAAAAAATCAAACCCACTACTCTTTGCCTTTCTTACACATTAGTAAAAGATTGTATTAAAATATAAATATTTACATTGAAAAAGAGTTTGCATTATCCCATTTTTAAAGCACCTTGTTTAAAGCTTTTTTTTAATTCTGTGCTTAGAGCATGGTACTGTCATTTGGAGACAGATACACACTATTAATCTTTTTTTTGTATATATATTTTTTTTAATCTCAGAACTCAAAAAATCATGATGAGAAAGACACAATGAGCCTCTTCCCACGAAACAATTTGGCAAATTCCAGCCTTCCTCCTTCAAGACACAGAGGAATCGTGTTAGTGTTCTGGGCGAGCACCAGCGTCCGTGCGCGCGGGCTGCAGGCCCTGGGGCGGGTACCTGGTAGGTGAGCTCCTCCGGGGCCGCCGAGGCCGGGTGGGCCGCGTGGCTCACCAGGATCACCTGCTGCGAGCCCGGCCCGCTCTGGCTGCCCAGGCTGGAGTCTGTGAGGAGAGCAGGGAACTGCTGGCCCTGCCGAAGGACAACGGGAGAAGAAGAGACAGAAAATGAAGAGCAATTACACTTAGTTAACTAAACCTCAGGTATTTTATTTTTATGACTTAACCCCCCCGCCTCCTTTTTTTTCTWTTTTTTTTTTTTTAAGGGTATTCCTGAATCTTATCTGAACATGCGCTACTGTTTTCCTTCGGTTCCACTTCCATTTTTCAAAGCCAGCAACCTAAGKAATTTAACAACAATTGCAAGCCTGTAAGAGCACAGACTCAGTTCTGATTATTTTTCCTGCCTGTCTGACAACTGTTGAATGTTTCAGCCTTCCTTCATCTTGGTCTCCTTAGGCAATACTGTCTCCATTTAGCTTCTGTTCTGTTTCCTGCTTTTCCTGCTTTCCTTGAGGAAGTAAAATCCAAAAGCTCTGTGATTTAGGCAAAAAGGGAAACAAGAATACCCATAGCAAGCATTCCTTACCAGCCTCCCTTTTCACTTAACAATGGAAAAAATATGAAAACTATAGCAAGAAGAAATTGCTTTCAGTATTTTTTGAAATACTTTTAAATTTAAATTAAATTTAAATACTTTTAAATTTAAATACTTTTAAAATACTTTTTAAATTAAGCTTTGTCTTTTTAAAGGYTTAGCACTGTACTAGCAGAATGCAAAAACATCTAGAAAATTGATCACAAAGCTTTTGAGATGGTAGAACCACTGAGCTCAATGCAAAAAAAAAAAAAATCCTGCAATATTTAGTTGCAGTTCTGTTCAAATAGCTTATTTTTCTAGATGCTAGTATGAGCATCCTTTTTGTAGAAAAAAGCAAACGTTTCTGAATTTTTGCATGCTATGTATTTATAGGGCAAAATAGCTTTCTAAAGAAAATTTCAAACTCCTGGCCTCTAAGACAGTAAGTTTAGGTTCTATCTCAGTTCAGAAGAGGATTCTTCTGTCATAAATAGACTGACCTGTGAAGTAATATTAAGTGTAACTGCATCGAGACCACTGGACAACATTCCCTGAGTGTCAGCGAGGGTCAAGGTGACGCTACCATCTCCTGCGACTCCCGACGAAGACATGACCAAGTTCTGGGCAGAAACTGTGGACTGAGAGATGGGTGGTGTTGAAGGAAGGTTTGTTCCACCCGTTGAATTAAGTTCTGCAAAATATACAGAATATTAAAACGTTCCAGAAACTCTAATTAAATTAGCTTAATCACTTACATAGGTGACTGTGTATATACGTAGGTGACTGTGTATATACGTAGGTGACTGTGTATATACGTAAATACTTTTTTTTGCTGTACTGTAATATCGCACTGTCTGGTGGTGCAATACCAAATCATACCAATTTGCTACAATTTGGTAGCAAATATATAATTTAAAAGATAAAAATCATAAAGGCATTTAGTTTCTTAATTTAATACCCAAGAGTACACTATTTCTGACTCAGTTAGCTGATATAACATCTATTTATTAATAAAATTTAATTCCGTTAGAAAAATCATTGTATGCATACCTGGTGTGTTTAGTGAAGTGCCCTGAGGAAGAAGCTGCTCGTTGCTTATAGTTAATGTAGCACCTGTAGTCTGACTGTTGATTGTTGGCGTTGTCAACCTTAAGCTGCCATTCAGATCACTGCTCCCAGAATTATGCTGAATAAGATCTTGGCCTAAACAGAATCAGTCCTATTAATAACTGCAAAKGTCTCACCATTATTCTGCCAGTGTACTTTAAAGTATTAAAATGATCATAAAGTAATAAGATTAGAAAACACACATTCTTTTTCCCCAGTACATACAGACCTTTACAGAAAAGGCAGACAAATTTTTAATACAGATGTAATTTTGAATATTTAGAYACTAATATGTAGATAAATACATTTGTGGAAATTCAGGCAAATATTGATTTCAGATTCAAGGCACCAACTTAATGCAACTATAAAAATCGAATGAACTAAAGGTTATTAGTGAAAATATATTTTCATATGTCTACTTCTTATTTCGTTATTGGATTGTGTTAAACTTGCCRTCTTTCTTTTTGGAAAAGCAAATGGCCAAGCACAGAACACACAAAAAAAAGAAAGTAGATTGAGCAGCTAGTGAGTCAAATTGGGTACCTAGTGGGAGAGGTTCAGAACTCTAACACTGGCAGGAGGTTGAGAGTTCAGTAACTTTAAAAATCTTCAAGAAACCAGGAATTCAGGTTTGGAGCCCAAATCCCATCACGCAAGTGGCTCCTTTCTTATCTTTAATGTATCTACTACCACAGCACTTTTAGGGAAACATAGAAGGAAGTACAAAACCTAAATATTTTCTCTTTGCTGGTTTTATTCTGGCATTTTATATTTCACAGGATCTAATAAGAAAAAGCACAATGCRGACAACAAACTGATTTCATGGGAAGTAGAAAGTTACTTACACTACACAGAGGACAAGGCTCTTGGAAACAGTAAAAAACTTGGTTTCAGTAGTCAAGAACATCTGAAAGTACTAACTACAGATTACAGATATTGACTAGTACACCCCAAAGAATAATCAGAACATGAATCAGAAGATGGTTTCATAGGCATTTAAAGAAATCTACGTTAAGTAGACACAACCCGAACCCCTACCCTGATCTGCCTCTACCCCTATCAACAATATCCCAAAGGAAATAGCACCTTATTACACCAAGGAAATAGGAACTGCTTATATTGGATTTCTCACTGAGAAAAGTATTTTTTGAATCAAGGATGTGAATAAAATAGGAGTCCAAAATAACATGTGAAAATATTAATTAGTTTTCAATGGGAAAAAAATGGGTACTCTGTCTTTTAAGGCTGATAAACTTGAAAATGCACTGAAGGAAAGCTGGGGAAGGTGGAAGCATCCTCAAATTCTACTGCATAGCAAGCTTCTAAATTGGAGGGCTGGTAGCATTAAAGATCATTACAAACAACAACCTGATATTGTAAGAGTGATTTCTTGAGGACTTCCTGACGAATTTGCAGTAGCAGAACCTGTAGCGTGAGCTAGAACTTGGCTCAAACTGGAATTATTGATAGTCAACGTTATCTCATGTTGTCCATTTGAGGAAGACACCATAGCCTGTGAAGTCATGACTTGAGAGATGTCCTGTGCACCTACATGGAAATATGCAGAACAACAAAAAAAATATGACAAGCGTTTCTTTGCAATAAACAAAACTACCTGAAACTATGACTTCATTTTCTAAAGTACTAGCAGAAGTGCAGCTAAGGCAAGATTTTTGAGGTTAAAATCCAATAGCAACAAATTGTTTCCATGTCCAATTTACTCCTAAAGATTTTAACCTCTAGAGAATAAAGATCTTACGTTTCTAAAGACTAAAAATAAACTTCAGGTGTCAGGCTACAGATGCCGCTTACCAGTGGTGCTGGTTGCCAGCACGGGCTCCTGCTCCGAGAGGGCTCCGATGGTCATGCTGGCCGCAGCTGTGCCGGGGGGCTGCAGGGAGAGGCCCGGCAGGGGCTGGAGGACCACGCTGGCGGGCACGGCGCTGTCGGCGGGCTGCAGCGCGGGGGTGTGCGGCGCCGCGCCGGCATCGCCGCTCAGCTGCTGCGCCAGCAGGTTGCTCTGCTGCAGCGTCTGCTGCAGCAGGCTCGGATCGATCTGAAAAGCAGGGTTGCAAGCTATCAGTCAGAAAYTACCCCACCAGCACACACTTTATATACAATTCTTCAAGTCATGATTTTTTTTTTTTTAATTAAAGTCTGTAAAATATTTACTTCATATAAATTTAAACTTGAACCTTTTTTTAAAGCCTCCGCATATAAAGTGTCTATGATGTCTATAACGTAACCAGTCTACCCAGCTTCAGCTTCACATTCTCCCCGTCTTCCACCTCCAAGAACAAGCAATCTCAACTGTGGTGTCAGGCCAGTTCAGCTTGCTGGCTGCCGGGATGTTACCTGCAGGGCCAGGTATCTGCAACCCTGCGGATCAACCCGTCTCACCTCACTGCCGCACGGAAGCCCTACCACTGTCCTCGGGTCTTGGAAAGGGAAAACGCACAGAACAGAAGTGAAAACCGGTGTAAGAAGTTAGCTGGGTTTATTTTTCAGCTAACTTTTTTCAGCTAATATTTTCCTTTATGGGTCCTAAAGAACCCATGTACATTTCCAACTGACATTCTCACATCTGTTCCCAATATTTGTAAACAGACAATTTACTTTTTAGGGATGACTACACTGGGAGCAGAAGAGGCAATTCTATTCAGACTTAGGTTTGGCTTAAAGCTTATTGAATGCTTGGGCTTTGAGCACCGTACTGCAACTCTGACGATGATCCCTCTCCGAGGCTGTGGTTGGATCAGACAGCCCCAAGAGGTCTCCTCCTGCCTAAAGGAGTCTGTGAAACTGCAAATATGAATCGGTTCATGAAATCTGTCCTTTCACATCGTTTTAAGTATAAATTTTGAAGCTGAATTCGCACCTTTTTCTATAAGGTATTTATTTCTATTATCCACTTCTATCAGGTCAATGRGAATGTAAAATTTTGATCTAAATAYAGAAAACCTGCCAAATAATGGAGGAGGTGTTCAGTAAGACACRTTCTCTGCAATGACTTCAGGGAGTGGGTGGAGACATCCACAGCAAAATGCTTTTACAATTAAAAGACAAAAGGCAACCAAAAAAATATTTTACAAAACAGTAAAAAAAAATCCTGAAAAAAATGACAGAAGAAAACAAACAAACAAAAAAAATAAAAAAGCTGGGCAGCTACTGCCTAAAAATTCTAACATGGTGCAATTGCTACAGGACAGTATTGCAGCAGAGCACACTTAAATCAAGGGAACACTTCCAAAACCATTTTTAGGTTCATTAAGCTTCTTTCAGTTCTCAATCTGGCTCTACAAAAAGCAGGAAATTAAGAGAACCACCTACCTGTAACGTTATGTTGTTAATACTGGCAGCATCAATTCCCGAGATTTGCACGTTCTGTCCAACCAGATTAGCAGCGAGCTGTAACTGAATTCCTTCAAGAGTGGCCAAGCTACCATCTGTCAAGGACACAGTTAAGTCACCTCCAGCTACCAAAGAAACCAGTCACATTATAATCGTTTTCTTTATCACTATTGGCCTCCTCTTCTAGCTTGCATATTTTTATAAATGAAATCCACATTTTGTCTATGCATTTATTTAAGAAGAAAAAAGCACCTGAAGGACCYGATTGCCTATTTCAGAACTTCGTAAATTCCATTTAGTTTAAGGGGTTTTATTACTTAAGCACTAATAACTTCCAAACTAAAAACGACTGCAGATCAGCTTGGAAAACCTGCAGAAATTTGGAACAGATTTTCCTGGAGAGTGTACTGCCCCTAAATACAAGAAGCACTTACATTAAATAGGTCTGGAACACGACCCAGAACATACACATACAGGATCAAGAAAGTTACTTACATACAGAAATCATTTACGTACAGAAATACTGTTGGAGAAAGAAGCAAGGGCTACTCTACACACCCGCGTGGAGGGGAAATAAATTAGCATTTGAAATCCAAAAATTTTTAGAGCTTAAAAGCTTCTAAGGTCAAAAGTTGAACAGACCATCTCAAAGAAGCTTTTAGTGAATGCATAGAAAACATCACGATGCCTTTGACACTTCTGTTCCAAACATCTTTAATGTGATCAACCAGTCTCTCCTTTGGTTGATGCTTCAGAAATACCTTTCCTTCTCTATAATCCTGTATCATAATAAATTTGCTTTATAGTGCATTCAACAGAAAAACCTGCTCCAGGCAAAATGGAAGTCATAAATCTGGATTTTAGAAGTTTCCTGGTGCTTTTTAGGGCATCAAACATGCTATTTATTCTGTTCACTCAAAAGTCCCAGCAAACCTCAAATCACGCTTGTCATAAATTTTTCACAGAAGAAACTTGCCAGTTTCTTTTGAACTCAAGTTCATCAGTTTTAGAGAGGGTGGTTAGATCCAATCACATAAGCCAGGATGACTGCAGGCAAGTATGTGACTGACACATCAATGTGAATTTGTAAGCATACTGTCAAAATCATACCTATGCACTGACAAAAGTGACAAAAACAGCTCAGAAATCAAGGTTTCTCCCAGAAGTGACAGACAGGGCTCAAGACCCCCACTCTCAGTAGCACCAGGAGAAATTTCCAAATGCTCTATCTACCCTAAGCTGTCCCAGCTTTGCTTAGGGCAACTCCCTGTTGGGCAACAGTAGCCCAACTCCCAAAGTAACTTAGAAATTAGCAAGGACTGCTTTCCTGCAGCGTTATTTACTTGCATTYTATTTGCTTGTAACATTAAGAGAGTTTAACTGAAGGGATGCTGGCTCTTTGCTACCAGTCAGCCCTTGACACGAACACAGTGATCTCTCCATTCTAARAGTAAATGCACTTCTATTAGTGCTACTGTGCATCAGATCATGAACTCAGCAAAACCCTTACCCGTAGGTTAGCAGTGTTTGGCATGAGTTTACRAACCTTAACAGAAATTCTAACAGAAAGAAAAGTCCAGCCTTTGATCTCAACACCAAAAAGTCCTTCACTTTACCTGACACAGAAGCAGGAAGAATAGCCTGGCCCACGAGTCCTTGCGGAAGCAARTTTTGCTCAAACTGACTTGTCAGAACCGAATTGTTCATGATGAAAACGTTCGGGTCTGCCGARGAGGAGTTGAGCAGGCTGACGGGCTGCAGCCCCTCGGCGGAGGGGCGCGCGACRGCCTTGCGAGCCTTCTTCGCCTCCGGTTTGTAGTGACACTGGATGTGGGTTTTCCTGCGCCCCGAAGTGCGGAAGCGGAGCTCGCAGTGGGGGCACTTGAAGGGTTTGGCTCCCGTGTGCAGGCGCATGTGCACTTTCAGACTCCCCTTGGTGGAGAAGGAGTTACTGCACACGTGGCAACTGAAGAGCTTCTGGCCTGGGGAAAAATAAAGGAGGGAAATAAAAGTGATAAAATAGTGACAAAAAGATCAACACCGCTGTACAGCAATTTAAATAATTACGTATTYGAAGCCAATTGAACAGAATAAATTTGAAATAACTAGCATTTTTTTCTTCMTAGTTTTGGTTCTATTCCTACTGTGCAGTTGAAAACTCTCATTTAGAGCCTCGCTTGGCCACCCTGACTCATGCCCCCCTCATCATCTCTCACCTTCCTAGTCTCACTGACTAACCAGTTGCTCCTGATAAAACTGGAGATTCTGTAAAGTTTCAGCTCTTCAGAATTTGGCTCCCCTTACTTAGCTGCTCATTTCTCCTTGAACTCAAGCAATTTTACTCTTCAGTCTCAGCCTTTACTTACAGCTTTATTCAGGTTCCTGTACGGCCAAACCACAAAAAACTTCATCATTAAACACTCTGTGTGCGCACAGAAAAATGTCTAGAAATGCCCACTCATACAAATACAGATTGCAGATAGGAAACTATCTAGAAATTGGAGAATATTCAAAAATAAGACTTTKGGAAGTAAAAAAAAGTACACAAAAGTACAGAAGTGGTCTGCAAATGTATCATTCCCCTAGCTATCTTACTTGACTGCATAATATCTGAAAAAAGTCCCTTGATTCAAATGGGAGACCTGCATGCTCTRCTGTTATACAAGTAAAAACGGTAACTACGTAGTTCATTAACCATACAAGTAACTGCAAAATTCAAAACAACAACAACAACAAAAAAAAGAACCACCACCACCCACACACAACCACCCACAGAACATAAGCATCTGGCAGGAAACCTGCCCTTGATCACTGTAGTTGAAAACCCAGAGTAACTTCTGAAATTCCCAGGTCTTTCCATATTATGTTGCTTCCTACCTATAAAGGGAAAGGAATCAACATATTCTGGATGTTGATAGCTGTTTACCACAAAGAATAAAACACACTTTGCTGCTGTTGTGTAAGCTAAGAGCAAGTAACTCAGTCATTTTCCTCTGTAAACCTTTAGGAACAACGGCTAAACAAAGCTCAGTCAACTCCCAGAGCAAAACATACAGCTGTGTTTTGGTGATGTCAGGTATTGAGCATTCAATCTCTGATCACAAAACAAGTTGTGCCTGTAACTTCTGCTATCAACTTTTGGATTTCTTTYATATACAAGAATCTCTCATCAAGTTCCTGAAACGTAATTCAGCCTATTTCAAATCACAGATTGACATTAGAAGGCAAACACAGTGATGGCATTTCTTGTTGTCATCTAAGCAAGTCTCTGGCCATGCTCCATGTCAGCTTGGACAAAGGAAACCGCCTGCCGCCGCACTCAGAAGCCAATTCAGACCAAGAAACTTATTGCCCAGGGTGTACCTGTGGTCCCAGCATGGATGAGTTCAGAAAACAATTAAACTACTGTACAAATAATCCATTAAAGGTATAAAACCAAAGGACACCACCTCTAGTTGAGAGTCCCACAAGCTGCAAATTTCTGGCCGCTGCCAAARTGTGACCCATCCCCTACAACACTATACAATCCAAGACAAGATACTAGACTAGTGTCTAGATACTAGACTAGACTACAGATCTGGCCTAACAAAACAGAGCACCAGCACTTACACATATCCTACGGCATTATAAGCTGGCTTTTCCAGTACTTTGAAAAAGAATATTTTATTCATCTTAGCAAAACAGCAGTCAGCTTTAGAAATCAATACAGGATTTTCWTAAGGAAGTTGAATAGTAAGAAAAAACAATTATAAAATTTTAGAGTGCTTTTTTTTCAAGTTATATAAAATTGGAGTTGAAAAATGCTACTAATTAAAACCAACTCCTTCTCACTGTAATACAAAGAGTTCCTAAGAACCTAAAAAGTCACAGAGGTTGGTTTATAGTCCAATTGCTTGACTGGAATATCAAACTGTTTTAAATAATTTGAAAAAATAAGAGTAGAGAAATTCTGGAGCACAGACGCAATTTTTTTTATAGTCTTTTACACTTAATTTTATAAAATCCTCAAACTTCAATCTTCTTCCTCAGGATCATCATTTAGCCTTGCAATTCTGCAAAACATTTGAGATTCTATAGTTAAAATTCTAAGGATATATACATCAGTGTTCTGAGACAACAGCCATTCTATAAGCCTAAAGACAGAAAACGTCACAAGCCACTTACTTCAAAATTCCATTAATATGATGTAATTAATGACATTTTGACTGCCAAATTTCACCTAGCATTGCCACTTCCCTGGTAAAATGCACCATTTTGCAAAGCTCTCAGCTAAACAAAGCCTTACTCAAAAGTGCCCGGGCTAACTGCAGACATTCAAATCCTTCCCTACCTGTATGTGTTTTGACGTGGCAGTCTAGAGTTGATTTCACAGTGAAACTCTTCCCACATTCTTCACACTTATAGGGCTTCTCCCCGGTATGGATACGGACATGCCTAATAATTCCAGAACAAACAAGTATGTGAAATTCTACTTCTACACAACACATCATAGCTACTAAAAGTATTTTGCACCTTACTCATTTTAGAGTGTTAGTATATACTATACTATATACACATACCATACTACCATTTTAGTAAATAATATACTACTATATATAGTAGTACTATATACTAATTACAGTAGTAAAGTAGTATTGTATAATACAGCTTATAGTAGTAGTAACTTATACTACTTACAGTAGTAGCTATACTAGTATTATAAGCATTAGTAAATGCTTATATTTACACAACACCAAGTAGAACTCCTAAAGGGAAGGATTTCAGAATTCACGATTTTTCATGCTTTTCTATGTGCATATCCTACTGCAGGAAATAATTCATTTATAACAAAACTTTGTAATAATTACTTAAGCAACAAAGAAAACAAGAATGTTTTAGCCATGTGTGGGCTATACGTTTAGGAAATGTATAAATACAATTTAGGAAATGTTTCTACTCCTTACCTAACTAAATCACTGGGTTTTTTAAAGCTTTTGGGGCAGTAATTGCAACAGTTAGCRTATTTGGGCTCTGCTTCTAGTTCCGCTTGCTTATCCTTGATCTCACTAATTCTGTCTTTTTCTGCAGCAGACTGAACAAGAACTTTTTCCGAGACAGTGGCGCTCTCCTGAGGTCGGATTTTTGCCAGTTCTGCTGTTTCTTCTTCCGTAAAAGTTATGACACCAGGTCGCGATTTTCTGGACGTTCGTTCAGAGTTTTCATCATCATCTTCAACACACGTAACTATTAAAAAAACAAACAAAAATCCACAGAAGACTTAAATCTGTAAGCTTAAACAATAATAATAATAGACTTTATTATTAAGCACATGCTTACTGCATGGYAGGCTTGGAATTAAGTCTATTTCAAAGGTAAAACCATACACGTTTACATATTTTTAAAAATAAAATGCTGGGTTTGTAATTGTTTTTACTACAACTTGAACACAGCTGTAATTCGTGCCAAAAACACAAAAACGCTRTATCAGTGGCACACAGCAAGAACTCTATGGGAATACACATTGTTACTGGATAAATTCCTGGGGAATCAATTTCTTTCAACAATTTAGATAAAAGAGTAGTTGAAGGGGCTCTAGACACGAGACATTATCCATGCTGAAAGGATAAAAGTGTAACTCTTACAGCATTCATGTAATTCACTGAAACACCTTTACTTATTAGGTAGTAAGGACAGTAAAAGTACAAATGAAGGAATTTACCTCCCCCTCCTGTTTCTGTAGCTGCTGCTACAGCTGAGGAGACTGCCTGATGCTTTTTCATATGCTTTTTGCAGTGAACAGTTGTTCGAAAGCTCTCATCACAGAAGGGGCACTTGTAAGGCTTCATGCTCATGTGAGTTGCCATGTGCCTGGTAAGGCTGCCATTAGTTGTGAAGGATGTATTGCAAATGCTGCAGCTGAATGCTTTAACTCCTTAAAGTAACAAAAATAAAGGAGAGTAGCACACCGTTTGTCTAGGTTCACTTATTCAGGATATTTACAGTACCAAACTGGAGCTAAGCAAATATTGAGCACATATATTCCCTTACCTGTATGAGTCTTCTCATGTGATTTAAGAACTCCTGAGGAAACAAAGCCACGGCCACAAAGCTGGCATTTATAAGGCTTCTCACCAGTATGTGACCTTACATGCTGTTTCAAATGACTGGATTTCTTAAAACCCTTGTTGCAATATTCACATCTATTAAAAAGAAAGTTATTGTCATTACTTGCATATAAGATCATAAAAATGTTCAGGCAATAACGTGACAGAACCTAGAAATTAAGTATAACAGACCTATATGAACGCCTGCTTTGATCTTCATTATCCTCAAGAAAAGGAGGTCGCTGGGAATGCAATTCCAGTTCTTCTTGTGATGGCTGATCTTGAATCAGGCGAGTAGTCTAGAAGTCAGAGAAGTTTCAAGTAAATTTAACTTAATTTAAGGTATTTGAGAGGTCATATTTAACACTAGAGGAGCTTTTCTAAACAGTGTGTTCCCAAGATATAGAGTGGTGCCAACAGCTTTCTATACTTTTTCATCTATCTTTTCATGCAACAACTAGAGTAATACTCCAGAGGGACAGCATGTTCTAAGACTTGGAGAGAAGAAAACTCCAAAGCCTGTAGAGTGGTGGCTGAARTTACCCAACCCTTTTCAGGATCCCACAATCCAGTTCAGTTCTCAAATGAACATTTACTCTTGCTAAGAAGTACAATACTGTATTTTTAGTAATTAAACTCTTAAAAGTCTATCCAGATGAGTACCATGAAAATAACATCACGTACTGCAAAATGCAAGCTTCAAGAAAGCTAATATGCATGTGCAATGTTATTTTTATTGCTTGATCATATCTATGCCCATATATCATTAGTCAAGATTTCAGAAAAAAAGACAGCAGACTGAAATCAGATTATAAGATTAGGCCTACTCCTAAATTTTTGCTTTATAAAGCAAAAGAATATATAGAAACTAGAGTATATAGAATATACTCTATTAGATCCTTTCATTAATCTAGAACATCCAAAGTTCTTTCTTAGAAACACATAGCCAGGTAACCAGTCTTCCCCCCTTTTRCTTAACAACCAAAAGCAACCTAGAAAAGAAATGTGACTTCTTTTCCTGACATTTCYGAGTTCCCCAGTCAGCTACATCCACAACAAAGTCAGCACTGAGCACAGAGCCGGGGCTGCCCYTTCCAGCAGCACTTACCACATTGATAGCGTCACTATTTGGAACCTGAAGAAGGGCTGGTGGGTGGTAACTYGTTGAAAGAGCTTGAGATTCAAGTGTACTTGAATCCTGTAGCTGCTGTACAGCTGGAAACTGAGGCTGCTGATTGTAGCTGTCGCTCACCGTAAAACCTGCCAAAAATACAGACAGTCACAACTCCAGAAGATAGGCACAAGAGGACTTAAAATAAGACCATAGCTTTTGGAAAACTATCTTCAAATGAGATTAAGCATTATTACAATAACGTATTGCTTGTTTTATACTCTTTTCTGTTGGGGGGCAAAATACACAAATAGTTCTGGCATCTAGGTAATATGCATAATAGGGTTACTTACCATTAGCTGGAATTCTATTGGACAATCTCCTCCACAGAACAACACTGTTTGAAGTTTCTTCGGGATGCCACAATTACCTTAGAGCCATTGAAATTTTGAATTTCTTGTATGTAAGCATGCATGTGTCAAACAGGTTGACCCATCTCCCTTTATCCACGGTGGTACCACGCTCCCTTAACTACACTGGAAGCCCATCACAAGGATGCAAAGCTCAGTGGGGAGGATGGCGGGTGAGTGGAGGAGATGACCCAATAGGAGAACTCCAGTTTCCGATAAAGCAACCCCATCTCCTACTTTGGATCTCCTCCACATATTCCCACTCTTTAGACAACAGTAAAGTAAATCCTCTCAAAGGCAAACTGCAAAGTAAAAGTGTGTTTGTTCATAACGTCAGTAGAAGAACTAAATTTGTTTGTTTTTGTTGCAAAATATCAGAAGCTAATTATCTCCTTTCCTAAAGGAATGGCAATATTTGCAATTGAGAGTCAGGAAAATATACCTCAGATTGCAGCTATCTCTATTTTGTTAGAGATGCTCTTTTACCAACCAACTTAACCCCTAACCACACACACACAAAAATTAATGTTACGTAGAAAAAAAAATGAAACCATAGCTAGCAGTAACTAAGAAAAGAGTAGCCATTTTATTATTTCTGTGCAGTTTGCCTTTAATGGACAACAAAGATGAAGATTATGAAAACAGGGTAGAAATAAACCTGTATTAGATGACCACAGCATCAAAGATCAAAAAGCAATGCTTTAAGAATATCCTGAATTGCAATATATCAAACACTGGGATATGCTTTAAGCAGAAATTTCCCCAAAAGATACTTTTCACAACAGAAGAATACTGTTATCAGTATAGGTAAAAATTGTCTTATATGCTACCTCTCCTATCACAGAAGCAACAAATGTAGACAAACCCTGAAAGCATTATCAGTCAAGTTATAACTCATCACAAAAGCTATTACTGCAGCTTCTTTCCTAGAACTATGATTACATGGAAAAAAAAAAAAAGAAAAAAAAATCAGTAAGGTAGAATTGAGATGATTGTGTGATTTGGTTTTACATACACACACACAAAACTATTTAAACTACTAGCCCTAGCTTTTCACAAGGGCCAAAAATAGGAACCTTGCACATCTATTACCTCCTTAGCGCGATGCACACTGAAGAGCCACACACAGCTTTACAGTGACAAGAAGGCCACTACTTACTATTTTAAGATAAAATTGAAAAGCAGAATTACTGGAAAAAGGCTACCTAAAAATTCTAATATTACAATGTAGTTTGCACAAGCTAAGAATTAGGAAAAAAAAAAAAGAGTTACTTACTATACTTGTTTCACTTGTTTCAAATGGTAATACCATTTACCAAAATCCTAAAAAAAATTCTAAACTTAAGAGGTACTTTGGGGCAAAGTGACAAATGAAATACTACTTCTGAAAGCAGTTTGGGAATAAAAATAAACCAAACCTGCAACAATATATGATACACCCTTATTCTGCTCAATACTTGGTATGAAAGTCAACTTCTACTGAAAACTTTCAAYAGAWCTGACATTTCTGAGCACGCTAAAGGCATTTGCCAGCACCATCTTATTTTGACAGAACAACATTGGGGAAGAGAGGGAAGAAAAAGAAAAAAAAAGATTGACAGAGAGAAGAAATTCAGCCCAAAAAAATAGAGATGAAATTCAAAACCTTCAGTGCTTGCTCTTCCTCCCCTATATATTGCTTCCTACAACCTTAATCTTCTTTAGTCACACAAAGAACAGAAAATACCTTAAGCTCTGAGTGTTGGGAAGGGGAAAAAACTAAAAACTTATTACTGCAAGTCCTGTACTTGGGATGAGCTTTCATACTACTTCAGCCTAAGTACTCACTTGTAATGCCATTTTTTTTTTTTTTAATCTTGGCCTGAGGTAATCCCTGAGCTATTCCCTTCTACACTGACATAACTTACTGAAAAGGGTAGGATACTCCGGAATCAGTTTAGTAGCAAAGATGCCTTACATATAAGAACATAAACAGCACGGTAGTTCACAAGAAAACAGAGTATTTTAATTTTTAGTCGCAACCTAAACGCTTGATTTTCCAAACAGTCATTGCAAACGTACCCATGTGCACCTGGTACCTATGCATCAGGACCRGAGCTTGGCAATTAAACATTCACTACGTTTGTTTACAGGAGAATGTGTGGAGCCAGCTCAGCAGTAATCACTAAAATCAATGTGTGACACTTACTGAAGGAATCAAAATTTTAAGACCTGAGATTGCAAATCGGGTTCATAAAAATGGAAAAGAGGAGTCTGCTGGCAAGGCTATCTTCATGTAAGTAACAGAACTGTGGAGTATTTGATATTTTTGCAGGCTTTAAAGGGTACTCCCACATCACTACCTCAATTACAGTCTCACGCTTACAGTGAACTTTTAACAGATACAATAATGACACAACCTATATGGAAATATTTTTGRTAACAGACGATGCCCAACAGATCAAAGCTGTTTTCTGGTAAAGGAACCATTTGGTTGTTCTSACCTTATTAAAAGGTCAACAAATGAAGAGGCATGAATATGTAAAACTATTAAGATCACTTAACTATTTTTTTTCTCAGTATCAGTATTATGGTACAGTAGCACCTTCATGACAGCCATAATTATTTACAAATGYGAAGCATACCAAAAGGAAAATCTATCCAAACAAAGGAGAAATTCTGTTAAAAATATCGCTGCCAAACCTCAACAAACAAATATGTAAAGTTCTGACAAGTCTATGCAGACCTAGAAACCAAAACCTTTTGTCTGGATAAGATTTTTTTTTYCCTTTGAAAAAGAAAAATGACCCAAAACATTCTCCACTTTCGTTTTATTAATGAAGTTAAAATATTTTTCAAAGAACACAGCCTACAAGTATGAAGAAAAAACCCCAAACACAATATCTGCATCTTGAATGTCCTGCCTTGCTGCCAAGAAAAAGAAATTAGGAGCATGAAGCACAGATGCAGACATAGGGAGAGGGTCGACCAATTTAACGCATGCATCCGCGCATGTGCTTACCTACCTGAAATTCAAAAATTTTGAAGGGCTCCAGGATCTTCAAGGAAACTTCAAAGAGTTGGGAATCTGTGGATGAGATTCCAAGTAGAATAGGAAAAGTCTTACACAAAAAAAGTCTCACATGAAAAAAAATGTCCTGGTTCTCTGCACCACTTTTATAATGTACGAATGAGCAGCCYGAATTTTTCTGATGATGAAACAATTGTTTCTGTAGTATCTACAGGAGTCTTTATTTTCTCTGGGAAAAAGTACTTAATATTCCCTATTTTGTTAATGAGAAGATGCAYGTGCAAAGAAACTGAAAGCTAAAACACGATAACAAAACAAAGACCACATACTGTTCTTACAAAATGCATTATTTCACTCTCCAGTAACGGAGAGTGGTTTTGTTTTTGTGACTATTTTCAAATTTTATCCTCTGGAGCATTTGGAATACTGCTAAAGGCAACCAATGAAAGTAATCTATGTTGTTCAAATTGGAATCTGATTCATTCCTGTTTAATGAAAGTTGAGACAGTGATTTTTTCTCCTCAGTTATATGCCAAGTGGCACAATCTAGCAGATTAACATCAGCAACAAATTACACTACTTCTTCAGAATATCAAGCATATTAGCACAGTCAATTACATTTGTACAAAAGGTGATAAGTAAACAATTTGAAAACAGAGAAGTTTAGTCAACAACTAGATAGAAAAATAATTACTGCGTACTGGCTGTAAAGAGACAAAATTCCTTTGCTAGAAAAGGAAACAAGAAAAAGACAACTACCTGGTCAATATGCTCCCTTCCTTAAAAAAAGCAAAACCAAGTATAAAAATCAGAGCAACAAAACTACAGCCCAAAACATGAAGAAGCACACACATCATACCTCGCTTCCTATCAAGCAAATAACCTAAAGAATCCTACAGAGAAAAGTAAAGGGAGTCATTTCTTCACCTTCTCTCTAGGCTATGCAAGCATCCCATCCATTCCAACTATTTCTAAGTATTTTATAGACCAAATTTAAAAACAAACAGAAGTTTTCRATTGTTTATAATTATGTAGCTTTGCAAAACATATTGAAAATGCAGTGGTTTCATGAAAGTATGAGTCCCAACAGCTACTCAGGCAAATTAAGGACTGATCATCTCTGATTATTATAGGGGGAAGTTATGTGGACTGCCTACTATTACAGCAGTTTCAAAAAGAACCATGAGAAGAATCTAAAACACCCAACTATAAACCCCATATTGCAACAACTAAACACCAACCCCTAAAAGTGAAATTTAATACTGAAGTAGACAAAAACACTCTTCTATCAGCTATAGTTTCACAATGGGAATTTAAGATAAAGTCTTCACAAGTTCTCCTTGCATTGTAGTTACATCACCTCTGCAAGCCCAGTATTGAAATGCTTTATGATAGCAATGCAGTAAAATGATTTTAAGGCCACTTTATGGCCTTATGACCATAATGACTGTAAAAAAATGATTTTAAAGACCACTTTAAAACCTTTATTAACCACTAACCTTGTTGATCAAACGACTGTTGCGTTATAGCTTGTTGTTCAAACTGAGTAATGTTTTCCTGTAAAGCATGCTGGGATGTCACAAACCTATCTGAAAGAGGAATGTTGAGGGGAAGAAAAACATCAAAAAGGTGCAATTAATCGGATAATTCATCGTTATTCATAAAGATTCACATTTTATAGTAATCTGAATTTGCATTAAAAATACATTAGAAATGAAGAGCTAAACAGGTCATCCTGCATCTTTTAAACACTCGCTCATTGTAGGCTTTGTTTATATCCCTCTGTAATGGTTTCTAACTGTAAGATAAAAAAAACTAATAAAAGGAAAACATTTTGCTCCACTATTATTAACAGAATAAATCAGTAAGATATTTTTGCATTCTCCTACCTTGAAACACTGACACAACTTTCTAAGYAACACCGCTATACAGTCTACTTATTTATAAAGTAGGTGATGAGGAAAAGTTTTATGTACATTGCATTATTTTCCATATACTTAGAAGGCATTTAGGAGTTCTGCTAAACAGATTTTTTGTAACATTTCTTTTTATTGTTTTAACACTTTGACATTGAAGAGTGAAAGAAGGCCRAGGCATATTCAATAGAGAATTTTACTGCATGTGTTTTTTCCAGTTACTTACTTGCACTGTCTTGAAACCCAAAACTTGTGAACTTAACTCCTCATAACCATGGGCATGCTCGGAATCCTTACCTTCATCTTGCTCTAAAGGCTGCTCAGGCAACGGTTGCTCTAGGCCCGTTTCCTCCGTGCCCACCACGGGCTGCTGCTCTAACTCCAGAATCGCCTGCTGATCGGCGGCCACGGCTTCCGGCTGCTGCAGCTCGGCRCTTTCGATCTCCACTTGCATCTGTGTGGAAACGTGAATGCTCTGCTGCTCCACTGCAGAGTCATCTATTGAAGCAGCTTGCTGATGCTGCTGAAGCTGCTGTGCCAGTTCGTACCTGCAAAGCAAGGTAGGGAGGAAGATGTTTCTAGGAGGCACTCTTCAACAAGGCACTCTTGTAACTATCCACGCAAGAGAATATTAAGTTTTACTACACAGTGTAATTTAGCATACTTTCAGATCCTGCTAAATACTTCCTAACCATAAGTAAATATTCTTGTTTGGTCTTGAGATTCTCCACTCCAGGAAACTCATAAATTTAAATGTCAAGGTACTTGCTTGGTCCTTCTTCACTCTTCACTCAGCTCTTAATTGCTATTGTGAACAATCAGACAGAGTCTAGTTCAACAAATTACTGTATCAGTGGAAGCAAGTAATTGTTCCCTCAAACAGAAAGAAGAATCATTAAAATTTACTTTTCTTGGTCAACCTGGCCTGACACAGCCAATACAGTCTAAACGCACTTGCACGCCACACTCTTCAGCACTCTGTGCTAAAAAGCATAATTATTTTGACAGAAGGTTTTTGTTTGTTTGTTTGTTTTTGGGTTTATTTATTTGTTTTTCTCTAGAAAGCGCTACTGAAAAACACCACAGGATTCACGCAAAAGCTGTTCCCTCACCTGTGGGTCTTCATGTGTTTCTTACAGTTCAGCGCCGTCTTGAAGGTCTTCTGGCAGTAGGGACACATGTAGGGGCGGAGGTCGTTGTGGATGCCCATGTGGCGCCGGAGGCTGCCRCCCGTGGTGAAGGCCCCGTTGCATATGAGGCACTTGAAGGCCTTGAGGCCCGTGTGCGTGCGGATGTGGGCCTTGAGCACGCCGGCCGACACGAAGCCCCGGCCGCACTGCGAGCACTTGAAGGGCTTCTCACCCGTGTGCGACCTGCCCAGGGGAAAACAGCAGCTCAGGCAGATGAGCAACAACATCCCCAAAATTGTTTCATCATGGACTTCTAAAAGGAGCAAAATAAACCCCAAATGGTAGCTCCTTTAGAGAGGGAGCACACCTCAATTAACAGAATCTAGATACTGACACTAATAAGTCCTACACGCACGTCTTGCATGTCATCAGCGACAGGGCTAGAAGCAAGGACTACTAATGCTGTCTGACAGTTTCCATTAGTTACGCAGTCTGACCTCATTTTCTGGTCAGACATTGCCAGAATTACTCCATTTGGGTTGATTTTCTTTCTACGCCAGATGTCCTTCTGGGGTATTATCACTTACATAGCAGCTGAAATTAACAAAACATAATTCATCCGTGTCCATGAAAGTTCTGAAAAAACATGTATTTCCCTGCTGATATTAAATAATATTCACCAATCACTTAAGGAAAATCTCTAACATCTTTATAGCTTGGAAAGATGATTTGATTTTGGCAACAGGGAAGACTTCTGAGTCTGTGGTACATCTATGGTTTTTAGCAAGGAAGCTTTAAGTCTAAATAAATTCAAAAGGCAGCTAACATTCAATATCTAATGCTTAACTACAAAGCTCTTGGAGAGGGCTCTGTCTGTCAAGAATACCCTCAAGTAAGATCCAGTATAACTTGCAATTTAGACTGCCACATTAAAGGAGTACTCAGGCTAGGGAAACTATCTTATCTGTAATCTATCTTCCCTTTCCTCAATCCTTCCTTCAGGAGGTTTTAGAAGAATTTCCTCTTGAACTACACTAAGATATAAATCAGAGTGTAGAACAGTTAGGGAAAAAAAAAAGCAGCAGAGCGCAATTAGAATTTTATGAGTTATTGCTGTATAATCCCAGAAGCCAGAAACGAAGTTGGGTAAATGTTACAAAATTGAAGATAAGAGAAAGAGGATATAGTAAAGTAAGTATTYGAAATTGGAGAAAGTTAGGGATGAYTTAGAAGCCTGCAGCTACCACATCAGATACTGTAACAAACAAAGAGCCTGCGACAGGTACCGGATTACTGCTCTATAACCAATAAATAAATGTCTATGGAAATCAATGACCTGTCCTGCCTGTGGGGAAAAAATCTGACATACTGTTTGGCCWCTGCTCTGCCAACAGTGTAAAAGCTCCTGTGTTTCAGAGGAACACAAGGTTTCTAAACAATGATCAGCTCCATTTCACAAAGGCAGACTGAGAGCACAAGTCTGCAGTCTCRTAATTCGGGCATAGCCATGTCTGATCTTATGAAGAAAGCACATTATGGAAAAGGGGAGAAGTTTCTCTAATTCCACTACAGCCATAACAAGGTAAATGGCAGCAAGAGGCCAATAACCTGCCTCCTGTCTTTATATTTCAGTACAGGAGAAAAAGGTTCACAAAATAAAGCAGCATGAACTAGTCAATAAGTCTACACTTCTTTACACATATCTTCTCTAATTACACTAAGGCAAATAAAATATGCAAAAGTTAGCTATCTATATAAAACTATTTTAGTAAATGTGCATAAGAATTAGGCATATTTTAACAGCCATTAAAACACTGAAATTTATGCTAGGAAAATAAATAGTATAAAATAAGATCAATTATTTAAGCCAAGGACAATGAAGGTGGTAATGATGCAAATCAGCAACATTTACTAACTTCGAATTACTTAAGGGTGCCCAGATTAATTGCATCTACAAAAGATAGCAAAAAATCTGCATAGGGTATTACAAAAAGCAAACGCACTGCAAGGCTTTCCCTCCTCCGGCTGGTCAGCACACGGACACACAAGACAGAACTCCATTTGTGAGGGAAATGTGTGATACCTATGTCATACTCACTGTAATTTTAACTAGAGATGGAGGAAAGCAGAAACGAGCAGACAGTAATATAACCTTTTCCTTGAATCCTGGTAATCATGAGATTTCCCCATAGTTTCTCTCATGGGGTTATGCATAGTATAGAAAGCAGGCAGCAACGGTGAATAACTAGACTAAAATTCAAAGTTTGGAGTCTCAACATCTTTTGACAAGGCTCTGAGCAACTGGATCTAACTGGATCTGAAGCAGGTCTTGCTTTGGAGGAGGAGGTTGGGTTAGTTACTTCCATTGGCTCCCTGCAAACTGAGATTCTTCTATGACTATCCTGTGATTTTAACATAGGGCCACTACGTGGCATTTGAGCTCAGCTTCMGGCCACAAAGTGACATGCAAAACTGCTCCGCTTTTGCCTTAAATGTTTTAGTATGTAGAAACCAACGAACAAAATGACAAGCTCAATGTCCTTCTCCAGTAACAGATGCTATATACAAAGCAGATTGCCTGCAGTAGGCAGTCACACAAGTACTGTCTGAACGTGCCAGGCACCACACGCACTTTTCCACGCACAGCACAGGGAGGGAAGTCCTGAGTGTTAAGAGGCTACACTGCCCACTGAACATCCCCACTTGCACTGCTAGCACTGGGCATGGTTACAGCACAAAACAGCCAAAGTTTCTTTGAACTATACTAGAAAAATCAGTATCTCTGCTTCTGTAATTAAAGGCAGTAAAATAAAAAATATAAAGTCTCAGAGAATGCTACCCAAGTGTCAGGCTTTTCRATGAGATTTGTTCCTGCACACATTTTTCCCTCTCCTAGCATATTTATTTTACCTGATGTGTTGTTTAAGATGACAAGACTTTTTATAGGCTCGATGGCAGTAAAAACACTTGTATGGTCTATCGGCATCATTCACAAAATTATTATTAAAATAATTTTGGAAGAACTGGCTATTCCTTGGGATTGGTTGGATAAGACCTGCACATAAAGACACACACATAGAAAAGAAAAGGTGGTAAAGTTATTCTTAAGTTCTTACTCTTAAGTATGCAATAGTGTAAAAGAAACTGGGCATCTTCTCAGCATCTATTTAAAATGTGGTATGCATCTACTTAGCACAATGCACGCTGTAACTGCATWTGTTATTTATGTTGCTTATTTTTATTCCTCATTACAGTCCACCTCATTATAGGAAGCTGCACAGATGTCCAAAACAGACATTAAATTTAAACAAAGTTGACAGTTACTAATTCCCTGTTCATTAGGTAACGTTCATTCCTACCTCGGTTTTAGTCAAATGATATTTAATTAATGTACGCCAGTCGTCATGTATAACTTAATAATTGATTTGAATTTTGCATGAGAAATACAGATCACCATGATATACATGTCTGCCTTTTACAAAAAAAAAAAATTCTTTAAAAACTGTTATGCTTCAAAAACATCTACCTTCACTAATCCCATCAGTCTTGCTAATGGTCTGGGTGCCTTCAAACATTTATTAGGGGAGGGAAAATGCAAGGGGGAACATGCAATATTAAGGGCAACCCTTTATATAAAGCCCATCCAAATGATATACTCAACCTGCTCAAGCTGGATAAATGAAACACTTTTAAAAAAATATATTGTTAGGATAGTTAAAGTTGGCTGTATCTCAGAGTCAGCAAAATAATTCTGAGTGGGATCTTTCCATAGAGAAGTATTTTTAAAGAGCTATTTTTATTACTCATAATTCATATTAGCAATATTAAACACATCTTTTTCACTAGAAGGATTTCAAKTTTATTGTTTAAAGTTGCCTTCAATATCAAGAATATCGCGAATATTGTGACTCAATAATATAGGCAATTAGAATAAATTTCATCAGCTCAAGAAAATCCACAGATTTTGACATCGACAATCCAACACCAGCTAACTGAACATTCTGCTAATGCAATGCAAAACATCTGTAAATTCTCTGTAAATAAAAAAAAAAAAAACCTGTCTTTACTAGCTCAGAAAGGACAGAGGGGTTTTAATGCAAACAACCTCTCTTCTGCAGCCTGTTTATTCCTACTGACCTATTTCAAAGTGCATCTTCGAGTGACCTCAGGTGGCCTGGACTGTTTGAGCTCCGACCTCTATTTTCCACCGAAACCCACGTTTCCCGCTTACAAGTGAATCCACATGCACTCCCTCCTTACCTAAATCAGTGATGAGGATGGGCTCCTGCAGAGGAATGTCTGGGACGGGAACGCTGCTCTTTCCCACTCGGACCTTGGCCGGCTTGCGCTGATGCCGCAGCTTCCTCAGCTCCGTGTGCTTGAAGTGGGACGCGATGTGAGTCTTCCTGTGCCCTGACGTCCTGAACTTTTTATCACAGTGAGGACAAGCAAAAGGYCTAACACCTGCAAGACATTAGAAGTATTAGCTCATAATTTTACTTCCACCTCTCTAGAGGTGTGGATTTGGAATAATGACATCCACTCGGAGGTTTTCTTTTTCCCTTTTTTCTCCTCCTTTTTCCTTGTTGCTGTTATTACTAAATATACTTTCAGGAGAACAGCTCAAYAAAATTCATTTGGAGGTAAATATGAAATGACTGAACTCTTAACTGCAGCCGTAACACATCATTTTAAGCAAGCTCAGTATCAGGAAAACACRTAATGCACATGGAGCAGCAATTTTTAAATGATTTCAGGATCTACCAAAAGACCTGAAGACAACATGTCAGTTGTCCACACAAAGGAAGCTATTAAAAATTATAAAAAAAAGCAAATCAGCAAGCACAGAAAAATGAGAGCAATAGGATGAAATGGCTGGACACATGACAAAATTTAGAGAAAAACCTAGATAGGTCTAAAATAGTCTATAGGTCTAGGTCTATAGACCTATAGTCTATAGCGTTTGGTAGTAGTTAAGGAAGCAAGTAAACAGGAATCAGAATTAAAAACTTCAGCATTTTGAAACCTAGTAGCATTTTGAGCAGGACATTCAGTTCTGGAAATCATCTCTTTTCAGAAAAGATACTGGAAAATTTGCTAAAGCTACAGAGACAGTCAAAGCTGATCAAATATATCACTTTTGTTCAAAGGAAAATCCTGCACTCCTACGGCTAGGAAAGACGACTAAGTAGGATACAGGATAAAGTCATGAGCAGAGAAAGCACAAGGAATAGGATGAACTGTTTCTCACAACACAATAGCTAAGAAACATCAAATGAAAGTGTTATGCAGAATATTTAAGGCAAAAGAAAGTGTGCCACTTTTATGAGTTTATCTGGCTGAAAGRATATTTACTAGCAATAATAAAGAAAAATTGTAGAAAACGGCATTTTAGCTGAGCTAGAGGAACAGAGAGTTAAAGGCAACACATTTTACACAATAGTAAAAACAAGACCATATAAACAGAGGTATAGGCAATATAAGATATTGAAAATAGCGAAGTGGATACAACTCTAATCAACCAGCTTTCACAAAAATAAAAAGCCATCAAATAGTCCTGAGTGATGCAATAAGATTATCCAAGATTGCAGGGAAAGCAACGGAAGCTGCAGAGCAAATTCTAAGAGTATGGCTTTTTTACAGCATAATCACATACATTACAACAGCTAAGGGCCGAGTCATCACGAGAAAACTAAACGTCCCTTTCTTTAGTCTAAAATGTTTCAAAGCCRCAAAACACTGTTACAATGTTACAAAAAGTTACAATGAAAACTTAACTTTGTCACATAAAATACTAAAAATGGTTATTTTATGATACCTATCAACCACGCACTTGATGCATCATTGAAGTGCTTCATGTTGCTCTTTTCCCCTCCTCCAAGATCTCACCCAACACAACAGCAATTTCGAGGCCTTACCTGTATGTAGACGAATGTGAACCTTTAAACTCCCTGAGGTGGAAAAGCACTTCATACAAAATTGGCACTTGAAAGCTTTAATCCCCGTGTGAGTTTTGATGTGTGCTGTGAGGGTGCTCTTGACGGCGAAGGCGCGGAAACACTGCGGACACTTGAAGGGCTTCTCGTGGGTGTGGATGCGGATGTGGCGCACCAGGTCGCTCGGCTTTTTAAACTCCTTAGAGCAATAGGGACACACGTGCCATCTTATTCCGTTTTCCTCACGGATAGACCCTGAAATAAGGAACAACACGAAAAATGACTGGGCTGGGAACGTTTGCAAAGGTTTTCAGGAGTTCCACAACACTAACACCTTCAAATGGAAGTAACAAAGGAAAAAAAGGCACAAGAGTATTTTGCAAATGACACTCAATACACTTGGTAGACAATTAACTCCTCTATCAGATAGAATCTATTTTGCAAAAACAATGACGGTAAAAACTAAATCCATAAGAATCCTGTTGAAATTCATGTATATTTACGATATTAAAATCAAGGAAAGAACAAGAAACAGGCTAAGTGTGCAATGTCAAAGACCATAAAGCAAAGAGTGCAAGTAGTATGCCACTCAGAAAAAAACAAAYGTGTGCAATGCCATTAAATATACCAAGTAATGCAATATAATAGACCAGGTAACTGATAAATGCCACATCTACCACAAAATCATTTAACAGTGAATACAACTCCTCAACCACAATCACACCCAACACTTGTGTAGCTCCCTGGTTGTGATGCTTCATATGCCCCCCTCTCGCCTCCCTTCTCCAAATTCAGCAAGGACAGGAATCCCAAACTCAGTAAGGACAGTTCTCCATCTAAGAGTCAGCCTTGACGCTGCACTCTGCTTTTATCTCTATTACTAACTCAATTCATGGTATAAGCCACAAGCACAGCTGCTGCAAAAGAACTCAGTAGGTCAATGGAGAATTACAGCCCCTATTTACAAAGAATATGGGTTGAATTTCGACTGAAGACTTGAAGGAGAGGAATTGGACTTACATGCAGGGATCAGTTTACCTAGTGATTCTTTCTACAAACCATGTCTATACACATGCTATTTCATCACAAAATAATGGTTGTGGTGACTTTGCAATTTATTTTCAGCAACAGAGCAAGCGGTGGCTACATACATACAAGGGACAAAAAGGTTTCACTGCTAACAGATGAAAAGTTAGCACTAATTTTAGCACTGTTGCCCTGGACAACATGAGTTTGCTACTTTGGATCAACCTCTGCTTCTCAAGCAAAGAAAAAAGCAACAGAAATGAAGTTACCCATGAAGTCATTACCTATGAGCTCAACAACTGCTCCTTACAGACTTGTCTCCACTTGGTCAGTCAATAAGCTACAATGGCACATACTTGGATCAAAAACTTCAAGCAAACTCGAACTGAAGTTCTATTAAAGCACACAGAGACAAGAATCCAAACTCACAGACACACTATACAACACGGAGGTAAAATAGTTAACGTATATACATGATGACTCCATCACACCAGTATTACAATTCCAAACATAGCTAACACCAAAAGTATTATCCACTAGGCCAGTCTTGCATCTTCCTCTACACGGGCTAGCTCAGTAAAAACTGACACAACCCAAGAACAGAAGCMCCTTCTGCTTCTTCAGGGCCTCTACTCCAAAGCAGAAGGGTAAAGCTTACAAGGACTCTCTACTCTGGAGCAAACTATGAAATCTCAATCATCCTCAGAGAAAGTGGATGGGAAAAAAAGAGGGGAAAGGGAAGATTCCTTTTCTCCCTTATTCTCCTTCCTTCCAAATATCACTGATCCTTTAATAGGGTCATATTACCTCAAAATATACTGTCTTTTTTTTTTTTTTAATTATAATGACGAATAAAGGGATACTGATAACAATTAATACGTATTTCAGATGAAGCAGGTGATTACTGATTTAGTGCCTCCGGAAGTCCATACTTGATAGACACCACATGTTTCAGTCAATCTGTTTATAAAGCCACAAAACACTAGTCCTTACAGCACAAAAGGTGGCAAGGAGTGGCAACATTACCAGGTAAAAACGGTGACTTTTTCTTAAGAATCTTTTTCTCTTTCTTTTCCAGTTTCTCTCTGCTCTCTTGCTCCTTCTCTTGTTCTGTGTTGTTAGAATCTGCCTGATGGTTTGGCACAGGCTGGACATCTGGACTTTGCTCCTGGACCCCAGGTGTCTTCGTCTGGTTGCAGTCAGTAGAATGTGCAGCGACAGGAATGGAAGACAACCCGCTGTTCTCTAAAGCTTGCTAAAACAAAACAGAACATTTCTATTAGGAAAGAAACATTCCACCATTACTACAACTTCGATCAAACAAATATTTAAAGACAATACAGATGTAATAAAGATGCAATAAATTCTACCTAATATGTTATCCTCCCAGAAATTCAATTGAGTTTTTACATTGCTTCTTATACAAYGCTAATTTTTGACAGTTAAGCTGTTTATGAGATTTCAGGTTGGATTTCCTGTGCTAACACAAGTTCCCACAGTGACCTTTCAAAAAACCACCAAGTTTCCCTACAAAAATCAAGCATTCATCAGGAATATAAGAAATCTGATAACACCAATTAAACAAAACAGCAGTTCCCCGTAAAAAGGCAAACTTGAAGTGTCAGCTTGGTGAGAAACTATAGATGGTGTAAGAGAAAGAACTTTAAATCAAAGAAAGGCTTGGAAAAGCTCAAAGCCTCTCAATAAGTTRCAGACAACCATGTGGCAGACATGAGAGCAATGTCCTGCTCTTCATATATATCACATAGAAGGGACTGGAGTATGGGCACCATATTGCGCCTGGAAAGGCTTCCGTTCAGTAACTTCAAACACACATTTCATCAAGAATGTGCAGATATCCGATCGCTTTGAAGAAAAGCAGATTTTATTTTTATTTTGCATGACAATATGCTTTGTGATTAAATTCTTATTCAACAGTTTGAGGAACYAATCTTAAGGACTGATTTTTTAGAACAACTGTTAAGCTCCATTTCCTATTACAATTTACTGTAACTGTATGTAACTCTCCAGATAACACACTGCAACACAGAATCACAGAATGGTTGAGGTTGGAAGGGACCTCTAGAGATCATCYAGTCCAACCCCCTGCTCCAGCAGGCACACCCAGAGCACGGGACACAGGGCGGCATCCAGGCGGGTTTGGGAGATCTCCAGAGAAGGAGACTCCACAACCTCCCTGGGCGGCCTGTGCCAGGGCTCTGGCACCCTCACAGTGAAGAAGCTCTTCCTCACATGCAGATGGAACTGCCTGTGTTGCAGTTTGCACCCATTRCCCCTTGTCCTGTCACTGGCCACCACGGAGAAGAGCTTGGCCCCTTCCTCCCTACATTACCCCCTTCATGTGCTTATTAATCATAGGTAACAGAGGGAACCTGCATACAGCGACATAAAACATTCAGGCCTTCCAAAAAGAACTTCAAATGCTGCATCGTCAACTGGAGGCAAATAAACAGCTTAAAAGCTCGCAGGCTACCACCAGTACTGAGGATGTATGTTCTCTGCCACGTGCCATCCTGTCTATGCCTTGAAGCAGGGGGGCTGCAGAACAAGTAGGGACACCTGAACTACTGCCCTGCAGAGCTGACACACTGCCCTTGATACAGGCAGTAGGAGATGCTGGGCTGGAAAGACATGGGCCTGACCCAGCACAGAATCATTGCACATACAGGCAAGATTCAAAGATTTCATAATTAAAATAGAATAAGGGCCCAGAGACACTCTATTTTTTTAAAACGAGATAAAAAAGCATTTTCTTCTTAATTACAGTTATGCTTGAAGAATGGCAAAACCAAATATATTCTAAGATACTTCTACACAACAGAAAAAAGTAACCAATAAAAGGTTCATGTACAGGCCTGAATATCTTCCAGGCCTTCTAATCAATATTTATCACCTYGTTTTTGTTAAGCTATGCAAAAAATCTCAGCCTGTTCTGTAGTTCTTCAGTATATCTTTGCAAGTCTTTTGTAACCAGTAATAAATCTTCAGAAATGCAGAAGGAATGGCATCATTGAAAATACTGAAAACAAACTTTACTGGGAAAAGGAAATGAGAAAGAAACCACGTGCAACACAGAACTGCTGCCCATTCACAGCTCCCACCTGCAAAATGTCTCTGTTGATTCCCAYGGCAATGTTGAGCTGCTGGCCAGGCTGCTGGGGCTGGTTGTTTTCTACTGGACCTGGTTCTGATAACTCAAGGAGCTGCTGGATCACATCGGTTACCGCCTGCTGCCCCTGAGGAGCTGGAGCTGAAGACACCTGGTTTTCTGTCTGTTGAACAAGCGGAGACTGAAAATGTGTTGCCTGCAATATACAGCAGTCCACTCGTAAAAGAAGATGAGAAGTATTTATCAACCCACCTGGAAGGCTCCATTGTCTGAAATGTCTGTTAATTGTCCGCTACAAGGACATCTATTTGTCTACGACCTGCATACTATAGAGAGCTGTCCTTCAAGGTCTGTTCATTCTACTAATGAGTTGCTCCTGTACATCCTTTCCTGGAGTTCTTCCCAAACTGTGTAACTATCATCTTGAATCAAGCTTATCATAACTATTGAACCTTCAGTTAGTTCAAAAACCAGCCATTAATCACTAATTCTCCAAAGAGAGGCCAAATAAAGTAAATCCTAAACAGCAAAATGGTATTGGGGGGATCCTTTATTAAATAAATAAATAAAAAGGTATTTTATTTAGCCAAGTCATTTGGAAAAAAAAAACCCTTTTATCAGCTGGCATTTTTCATGTGAAATTAATAAAGCTGCTTCATCAACTCTTGATCAGAACAATCAAACTAATATTTTTTTTGGTTTAATTTTTTTTTTTTAAATTCTTAGCTTTAAATGAGTGTCTTTATAGCACTACGATTATTTACATGTGGGACTTTGTGAAAAATACTCTATTCTTATCAATACCTATAATAATAATAGTACATTTAGCTTAATCCTAGCTACACCCTGAGAATTTGATGAAGTATTCTGAATGCTTTCTTATYGGAAAACATAACACAAATCACTAACACATTCCTCTTACAGGCATGCAAAAGGGTAGCCGTTGCCATTTTAATGCTTTTAGTACTGGCATGTCTTTTTATCAATTGTTTGACCAAATAAAAAGACTGGCAAAAATTGGCACAATTCAAAATTTGGCAAAAGTTCCACAAACATTTCAGTATGTTACTTGACARAGTAACCACTGCAGGGACAAACCACACAGACAGAAACCGAAGCAAGATCTTCTGCAACAGAGCACAAAAGCTCTTCAGAGGTTCAACACTGTCTGACAAGAAACTTGCAATAYTACATACATTTAGCTTGTGTGGTGACATATTTTACAGAAGTTTATGCTTACTCTTAAGAGGCGATACAAAATAATACACACACTTACGTACACAGAGGTCCCATTAAGCTATCCTGCTCATTATTAAAAGCTCCAGAGGTCTCCTTTCACATCTCAGAATTCTTACATATGTGACTTAAAAAGTGTAGAGAACAAAGTATGTTATGCTCCACACTTCCACATTTTTCCACCAGAATAATAGGCCTTGTGATCAGGCCTGTTATTAGGCTGATTAGGCTGTTCTCTAGCCCAAYGCAGACTACATGAATCCCCAAGTCAATTACTCCTTTAAATAACGTATCTGTACAGAAATTATAGCATTTTTAACTTAATTGAGTAAGGCTTTTTCTATTGCTAGCAAATTGTTCCAACAGTTAGTTGCTTACACTAAAAAGACTTTATTTCCAAGTGTGAATTTATCTAGTTTCAAYCTCTAAAACTTTCTCTTCTGTATTAAAGGAATAATAGATTTTTTTCTCCTTTTCTACAAGGGCGAGATCAAGTCATTCTTCAAATATTTGATCTGATAAAACAGATAGATAAAACTTCTTCAATAATAAAATACATGATCTAATAGTTCAAAAATTCCATAGCTCTGAATCCTCTTAAATCTTTTAATACATCCATGAGCAGCAGACACCAAAAGCAAAGAATAAGAGCAGCAACTGCCAGAATTAACCGTAGAGGGCACAAACACTCCTCACTTCTTTGCAAGGCTTCTTTGCTATATGTAGAGACCCTATTGATCTTTCCAGCCAAGGAAAGCTGCACTTTCCACTGATTTATCCACTATGATCTTCTCAATCCTATTTYTAAAGGTAAAATCCTTGTCAATCTCTAACCTACAAACACAACCTACTACTTTCTTTGATCTGTGATTTTGTTCCCGGCCATATCAAAACACATAAGGCTTCTCTGCGCTCAGCTCACCAAGAAATACAGCTCATGCTGTATCAGTGACTTGTCCCCTTCATAAATTACCTTGCTCTTTGTATCATCTTGACCAGTGACGATTTTGTACTTTCTTCCACATCACTGATAAAATATTAAGTAGTGCAGGGCCAAGAATTAGTCCCTAAGGGGCCCCCATCAGGAACAGCAGCTGCTGCTGAAGCCAYGACTAATGCACAGTGCAGATCCAGGACAAGCTCAGAGCACCAACCTCAGTCAAGCAGTCAAGAGCACCCCATGCAAAGCAAGCAAGCTGTGCATTTGAAGGCACAGAAAACAAGCAGAGAACATATCAAATGAGGCATATTTGAGAACATGGGGAAGAATCGCTGCTGAGTCACTGCAGCACTGAGGTTTGTGAATATTTTGGGATGGTTCTGTACGTTTCCTTTCTAGAATCCCGCTGTATGCTTTACTGGTTACTAGTTACTGGYGTAAAACAGAAGGCCCTCGGGCATGGGGAGATTCAGGTTCTTCTCTAGCTACTAGACTAAACAGCCCCCTTGCTTGGTTTCCTAGATCCACYCCCACAAGTCAAAGCTGATTCTGCTGCACACATTCACTCTTCAACTACCTAGTGGCCTAGGAACTAAAGCAATCTCTGGAGAAAATACAAGTTTGAAGACCACAAGAATAAGGCAAGAAGGAATTCTCCCCTCCTCCTAGGCAAGAGTAATAAGCCATTCCTGGAGGAGGAGGAGGGAAACTGGTTTCGCTGTTAGTGACCGGTTCCCATCAGTGGGAAAGAGCCTGGCACTCTGCATCAGCAGAAAGGGACCTATACACAATATATGAAGCCCTCCTGGAGGAGCCCCATCCCGATACTTAGTTTCAATGAAAAGTGACAACAACTTCCTCTTCCCTCATCATCTGAGGGCAAGAAAAGTAGGTCAATAGTTCCACTTTGGAGCTTGCTTTGTTTGAAAACTTTTGAATATAATGCACTATTCATAGGGCCTATACAAAACAAAAACAATTGGGGCATAGCAGGGCAAGAGGAGGAATGGGGTGAACTCGTGCACGACTAGCTCCTCAGTACCACATTGCTCTTTAAAAGGGGATCAATATGCACTGTTAAAGTATAATACTCGTAGTGTGGAGAAGCTTTTTCCCTTTCTAGAACATCAATCTGACTCAACTATGCAGATAGTGAATCTACTTGATTAAGTTCCCACATAATTACATTTTTAATTGCAATAAAAGGCATTTAAATTGATGATTACCATCTCTGCAGACCTATGGTCCTCTTTACCCTCAGCATCACTTTTGATACCACTCCAAAGCTCCCAGCATTGGGAACTCCAGAACATTTTGACTAAGTGTTTGATACCACACACAAGTCATCCGTTAGTTTAAAACTGATTAGCACAGTTTTAAGTCAGTTGATCCAGAAGCACTGATTTCACAGCAAAAGAAYAAAAATAAAGTGCGTAGATTAGCTATGGCATCTTTAAAGAAACACTGGCACGTTTCCTAGCTCTTGTTTCTGTGAGCTCCAGTGCATGAGCAGACAAAATTTCCCCAAAGGGCATCAATGTTAGCCCCATCAGCCCACCCAGCACCTGTGCTGCAGCCCCCAGGCAACGAGCAGCTGCAGCCCAGAACGTGCCGCCCTCTCCCTGCAGCCAAGGCCTCGAGATCCACCCACCCCCAGATGCCAGCAGGGCCAGGCCCCAGGTCTTCCCCCCACAGCTTGGCCGCTCCTTCAGACCCACAGGATCCTGCCGCTCCCTGGAGCCCAAGCAGTGGAATGAGCCCAAATCCTGCCTGTCCCTCCTTGCCCAGGTCACGGCTCTCCTACGCGGCCAGGTCAGGCGCGCCGGACAGTCTGACACACGTTGGACTCCTTACTTTCCTCTGGTCTTTATATGGAGCAAAATATTTGCCTCCATTTGGAGATATACTCATTGGAATTTACGTGGAACATAAAACAATCCATACAACAATCCGTTTCATTCACCTTCATGTTTAAGCTGATCAGCTTCTCACAAGGGACAGTAACGTATCTTCTTTCACCACGCAAATAAAGAAACATTTGCAAAATTCTGAGGAGCTCCTTCCCTTTTTAAACTTGACACACACACACACACACACAGAAAACTTCATACTTACATTCTTCCATTTGCTATCAACAGGTGGCAAAAGACTAGCAGGAGCTGCTGTCAGAGGCTGGGTGACAGGGTCCTGCAGAGATACAGGTAAGGAGTTAACGGCAGACACTTAAGCTATGAAACTCCGAACAAAGAAAACAGTTCTCCAAACAACACTAGCTAGACACTTGTTTTAAACAAGACACAGCTGCATAAGATGCATAAGATGAAATACTGATGAGATGATTTTAAGTCTCACCATGTTTATGACGTTGTTAGAACTCTTGAAATGAAGGCTTTTCAAATTTTAACAACTTTAGCCCTCCTCAAAGACTGAAATTATATTTCATGTTTTTAACTTAAAGTTGGGAGGTGAGGAAGAAAAAAATAGAAAAAAGATAAAAGGAAAATGGTCTCCTCAAAGAACATTCTGCATATGCCACTGCTTAACTAGGTAAGTTGATTTCAATAAAATGGCACACAAAAATTGAAAGACATATTCATTAGACAGCTACAGTGTTTTTAGTTCRTAGTTCTAACATATTTGCACAATTACAGAAATAAAAACATAAAGTAAAAAAAAATCTAAAGCATTGCCATAATAGAGCAAGTCAGGCTTACCGCGGTACCATGAGATGCATCTGTTGAGGAGCTTGCAGCATTCTGTGCACCACTCATATGCATCTTGCTGATATGTGTATTTAAGCTACCCAAGCTCTTAAAGACACAGCTACATTCTGTACAGTTATATGTAGGGCCATTCTTCACCTTCAAGACAAAAACAACAACAAAAGTATATTTTTCCTGAGAATATTTAATGCTATCTTTCTTATCAGCATAAGTAATACATTAYAGAACTATAGAAGAAAGTTGAAAGTTGGGAAAGGTGCTCTGTTTCCCCAAGCTGTTGATGCTCAATTATATGACTGGTCTCCCTGAAATCAAACGAACTGTCAACTATGTGTGTGACTCATCTCACAACTGCCTCTCCATTTCAGGAAGCACCTCTGAGCAAGACAAATCTCATGTGGTAAATGAGGCCTCGGACCTTTTCCCACCTTGCAGCTTCCTAGAATTACACACTTACGAACAAAATCCAAAAAGCAACTTTACCAAGACTTTCCTGAATATATAATGCAATACATATTTAACAAATGAAAATCAAGAGATACAAAGGAAAAAGAGGTAAGTTATCTTCATTTCTTTTTTCTCTGCTTACTTTTACAAAAGGCTCTTTTATCACTTTCCAAGGGAAAAAAAAATCTCTGTGTTTAGATAACAAAGTAAAAATAATGTGACCCAAACTGGGTTGAAGAGCATAGGGACTGCCTGACTTGCAAAGGGCACATGGGGCAGGGCAAGAGGCCCAGGTCCTGGGGCTACTACTCACACCGCAGGCTACACATCTCCCACAGGTCACTTGCTATGGGCCCACAGACTCAGTTTGGGAGCATATGTGAAAAAAGAAGAGATTTATACTTAGGCTGTTTGCCAAGTAGATGTTTTTGATGACAAGATCAGTACGCATTCCATGGGAAGAGGTAGAAAGAAAAGGAAGGAATCATAACCTGGGGTATTATTAGAAAGGTATGGTGGGAGAAGAGGGAAGAATCAYGGAATTTTAATGTTTAAAGTCTTCAGCAGAGCACATACTGCAGCTCTGTCAGTATGGAATACTGTATTTTCTGACAACAAGCTGAAACTGGTATGATGATGTTGCAGAAAGTGGTATCAAATCCTAACACAGATAAAGCTGAACACAGATGAACACAGATAAAGCTGAACAGTAATAGACTGAGAATCAGCTTGTTTCAATTAGCAAGTCTTGTGGTTTTCTGTGTCTGTTTCAGGCTAAAATGAAGAACTGACACAGTCCTGCTCCAATTGACAGAGTCCATGTGCTCTTGAAGAAAACTCAGCAATAACATGAAAGGAAAATTAACAAAAGAGCCAAAGCAGTAACTAAAACACAGAGTCTGGACCACAAAACACAATATAATGCGATGAAGGATAGCACTTGAGAAGTAGTGGAGAAGTGCAAAATTTTTGCTGGACACAAAATCCAACCAAAATCACAGCTGGGACAGAGATAAGAGTGTGAACAGAAAGGTGACATTCAGTGTGCAGAGGAGTGAGGGGAGCTGCCTCCAGCTATTTGCTTCCTTTCAAATTGGAAAGAACAAAGTTCCACCACGAGTTCCACTCAGGAGGACTGTACTACATGATCATAGCAGTACATTTTTGGCTACATTTTCAAGAAATTATTTCTTAAAAAAAATCATTTGTCACAAAAAGAAAAATGATTCAGAATAGAGGTCTGAGATAACCCCCCAAAAAGTAGTATCTTCTACTATAATCTGCTCTACCTGTAACTGAAAAGCCTCTGAAAGGTCTTTTCAGAGTCCAACTGAAACAGTGTTCAGAGAAGTCAGTGGGCTGCTATCTGGTATCTTATCATTTTCTCCCTTGCATATTTTGGAGAATCTGTTGTTTTTACCTTCATCTGATTCCATTTCTCATTCTCCCAAAGCTGATGCAAATGCATTTGTACGCATCTAAAAACGCTATCASACTATTACCTCACAGCGTACTGAAAGACGATAGCAAATGGAGGTTTTCCTATTTATCTTAGGCAGTTTTTTAACCATTGTGATTAAAGTGTTTTGTCAAAGCTCAATTTGCAGGTGAAACCAGCATACACAGCAGCAGGGAATCTGTGTTGGCAGAACACCCCAGTGAGCTTTGGAAGAGCAAACGGGACAATTTCAGTATTGGAAGGCAAGATTAAAGCGCGATAAGCGGTGCCTCAGGAGCAACCCCTTTAGGAGTGGGGGCGTTTACCTCGGAGTGAACCCTCTGGATGTGCGACTGGAGGTTGCCCTTCTGGGAGAAGGCGGCGGGGCAGAAGGCGCAGGCGTGCGGCTTCTCGCCCGTGTGCTTCACCATGTGCGTCTGCAGCGCTCCCTTCTGGTTGAAGGCCTTGCCGCACTCGCTGCACTTGAAGGGTCTTTCCCCTAAGGCGGGAGAGGGACGAGAAAGAGGAAAAAAAGGTAAAACGCAAGGTAAAGAGCTTTAATTAAGTCTTTTTGCACTGAGGTGCAACTACAGGGAAAAACTGCCTCAGAAAATACTATATATCTACATATATGCAAACATATCTGCATATGTTCRTAAGTGCTTTGTAAGCTTCATTGCTGACCTCAGCCACTGACTTCAGCACCCGATTAAGGTGTACTTGGGTGAAAAAATTACGGTCTATCTGAAAATTATTAATTAGAATTGGCAAATTAAATGAAATTTGTGTGAAACTAGTGTTTAAAAGAGCTCTCGCCAACCTGCTGTATGTTGGGGAAGAATAGCAGTAATAAGTAGTTCCCAAAAGCATASGTTTTTATTTAAAGAACTGTAATTACAGCAACACTGCAAAAGWGACCCAATGAAAATGGCTGCAATAATAGTTTTTCTTTTTCAAGCTCTAACACATCCTGCTCAAAATAATTTAAAAAGATGATTTTAAAATATTTCATATTTTACGTAGGGAAGAAATTCCTAGGCAATACTGTTACAGGAATGCTCTTTCACAATATCCTAATTTTAGTGTTCCACAGTTGTATTCATAAGTAATTGTACACTAACAGATTAAACCTGAAGAAAAGTGTAATTGTTTTCATATAAAAGAAACTTAATTTAACCACACAGACATTGAGAATATTACCACCTTAACTCATTACTGGAAACTCTGTTTTGAGTTCAATTCTTTTTCTTTTAATGAAACAGTTTACCTGTGGTAATTCCAGTATCCCGAGAAAAAAAATAACTCGTGGTTTTGGTGCAACATTTTTTTTTAAACAACAAAAAACCCTATAGTTGTTGAACACTATATCTACTACAGCAGTAAGTTCTACCATGCACTAAGCATTACGCATATGAAGGTAACTTTTTTTTTTATATATATATATATATATATATATATATATATATATATTATTTCCAGTTACAATAATGACTGTAATTACACATAGTAAAAAAAAAAATAAACATCACAGTATTTGAAGAAAAGCTTTTCCCTTAAAACATGCAGAATGGACTATATGCTAGACTTGTGATTCTTACCCCCCAAAAAAAAAAAAAAAAAGATAAAAAAGCTGAAATCGGAGAATCAACCCTCAAGTAAGAAAGTTACTTTGCAATGACTTTTTGGATATTATATCAAGGCTATTTATACAGTGGGTAAATGCTGACCTCTTGTGTCACTCTTTTGTAACTAAAAGCTCTAAAGCTTCAAAGCATTTGGATCAGTCACATAGAGGAACTTGTTTACAGCAAACAGGTAGCAGTACATAATTTACCAAATACATAGATACTAATTACTTCAAGTCTCAATACACAAAAAAACTACTTCCTATTTAGTATTTAGCACTGCACAAAGTAACTGAGTTTGCATAAACAACTGCAATCTAAAATAATTATTTCTTTGGTCTTACCTGTGTGTATTCTAACATGTCGAGTTAACTGACTTGGCTTTTGGAAAGTCTTTCCACAGTGCGGACATGAATAGGTGAACCCACTCCTGTCAATGTTTCTGTTGTACGATCGTGTATTTGACACCCTGGCAAGAAATTAAAGACATAAAAAGMTCACCTTCATCCTGATATTAAATATTTTTATTTTACTGCACCTTTTCCAACACGTAAGTTAAACTGGGTGGCAACGTGCAGGATCAGCTGTATCAGTAAGTTTTCTTCTACTGATATGAAATCAGCAATATTACCAGTTAATCAAATCCACCTATATTACAACAACCAATAATGTTACAATTATTTCAATAACAAACCTGATATATCTTAAAGAGTTTTTTCTAGAGACATTTCTACTGTAAATTCAGGCATAGGCAAATAGTGACTTAACAATTAGCATTCTGGTGGGAATTTTGGAATTGATGTATTTAACAATAACAGTATTTAACATCGTAAACATTCACCCTCCCCTTAAAAAATAAATTATATCCTCCACAAAGCCATGATAATTGATTTAATAAACTTGATAAAGCCAGTATGATATCCATAACAATGCACATTTTCTGAAGTGCCAGAATATTTACGCTTACACCATGCTTCCATTTGTCAATATGGATTAAACGTTAACAGGAATTAAATAGGAAACACTGCCTATTTAAATTTATGAAGCAAGAGGTAGGAGTTAACTAATGTGCAGCAGGTATACAAAATGAATCACCACCTTCATGCTAAGAGTGGTATAATAAAAACCTGCAGGAAATACAAGAGCCTGCGTAAAAGCCATGAACTCATTTAACTGTTACTCAAATGATAAATCTCTCTACACTTGWATATATTCAGTGCCTACTTAAAAGGCAGCACATTCTCCCTTCTGATTTCAAACTAATTTTACATATTAGTAAATTTTACACAGTATCTGAAAAATCTTGTAGAAGCCAAGGAGAGACCACAGATTTCACTTTTGCATATTAATTACATCAGCTAAAATTTATGTAATTATCCACATAAATTCACTGAAGACTAAGTGGCAGTGGAGAGAAGAACATGGATTTTAGAACTTGTTTCCATCTCAAGGCAGATCTAGACAAGTCTGTCAGAATAAACTGATGAGAAGTGACATCTATTTAAACAGTTAGGTGTGACGCCTCGCTATGGAAAGTTACCATAAGCGATTTGCAGACGTTTGTGCAGATAATCCTTCAAGATTAGATCACCTCCTTAAATTCAAATATCCCATCATGTATAGTCACACTGACAATTTTCTTACTAATAAAGGRCAGGAGACACTTTCTTCAGGGAGAGAGAGTACAAGTATTTCCTGAAAAACTTCAAGGAAGAAAGCTTCTCGTAATTTTAAACACTACAATAAATTTTGAAGCTTCTTTTATAATGAAAACCATAAATCATAAATAGTACTTTTAACTACAGATCTATGTTTCTTAAATAAACATACTGTACACAGTTAGACAAGTTAAAGAAAATACTTTTTGCCCCCCCCACCTTTTTTTTTTTTTTTTTTTTTTTTTAAAGTTCTACAGGACTGGACCAAGGACTGACCCCTGGGGGACACCGCTAACCACAGGCCCCCAGCCAGACTCTGCACCACTGACTACCACTCTCTGCACCCTGCCATCGAGCCAGTTCCTAATCCACCTCATCTATCCCACACCTTTGGAGCCTGCCCAGCAGGATGCTGTGAGGGACGGTGTCAAAAGCCTTGCTCAAGCCCAGACAGATGACACCCACCGCTCTGCCCTCATCTATGCAGGCAGTCACTCCATCACAGAAGGCGATCAGGTTGGTCAAGCAGGATTTCCCCTTGGTGAATCCATGCTGGCTACTCCGGAGCGCCTTCTCCTCCAGGTGCCTGGAGACAGCACCCAGGATGAGCTGTTCCATCACTTTTCCAGGGATCACTCATGCAGTTCCTTAGCCTGGCTCCTTAACCCAGCGTACACGAGTTGTTTTGGGACTGCTGGTAGAAGGCCAATAAAGGACAGCTATGSGCAGTAGTTGCCTGAACCCTAGTGCAGCATTTCTACATCTGCATATTTTGGCTAATGCTATAGCCATCAGATGCTTCTATAAACCAAAGGGCAATTCCTTCAGATTGATAAACAAGTTAAATCTCATACAAGGAAGCTCTGGATGAAATAACAATCCATTTTTAGAAAACGGATGGTAAACAAATGAAGCTTTGCTTTCTTCTGCAGAAGAACAGAAAAGCTGTTTTTGAAGAAGCAAATCAGATTCATACGCAACATAAAATTAAGGTTACAGTTTCCTCCTGTCACTCAGTATCCTTTCCCACCAAAGTTCATACCATATCAAATTCTTTTCTCTTCCCCATTGAGAAAGTCYTTTCTATCTTGGACATTTTTAACAAAAAGAAAGGAAACACAGAACTAGCCTTACATTTCATTCGTATCCTGCACACTTTGAACAAAACACAATATGCATAATAATCTCTCAAAATCACTGTCATCATGTTATATACACTCACCTACTCTTTCCTTATTCATTCTAATTTACACAGGAGGTATTCACAAAAACTATTATTTTGTGTAATATTATATATTTACTTAAATCAATATAAACAAAAACATAACTTCATACTTGAAATCTTCAATTTTCAGTTTGCAAAGGGAAAGCTGCAACAATTTCTTTTTGAACTTGGTGGAATGTACCTATTAAGGCCTTCCAGTACCTATCATCTGCTTACAAAAAGAAAAGGAAGCATCTGATGTTTCTCATTTTTAAATATACCTTGTTCCTCTCTGTTGTTTGTAAAAATAAAGACTGAAAGAAGAGATCATCTGTCAAAAGTAATATTTAAGGAAATGTATATATCAATAGAAATATTCACCAAAATAAGTGCCTTATTAGGTCTCTTTTCCCTTGATTTGATGCTTTTTCAGATTTACAACAAACTCATGAAATAAGAATTATTCRCAAGAAATAATAATGAAGGGGGAAAAAAGATGGAATTGCAAGGAATAACTTATTTCTTTGTAGAAACGACGCATYGGGATTTTTCCAAATAAAGTAACTCCTATGTAAAATTAATAACGTTTGTCTCTGTTTTTCCATAGGTGACTAAAATCCTCACACACATAAAAACACTTCAGAGAGCAATCAGTAGCAGAAAAGACTTAGAAATAGCTAGTAGATGAAACTATGCATATTATGGGTCCATAAATGTTAAATACAGCAAAAAAACAGGCCTCAGAAGATCACTACCTACTTCAAAAAGGTATTTTAAAGAAGTCCTTTCTTAGCACCATACCAAAGAAAAAAAATGATCTGCATAAAGAGTAGGCTGCCGAAAAGAAAAGCTACTCCTGTTTTTCCTAGTTCTCACCATAAAGCTAACATCTGCTCACTTTGTTAAAATCAAGTAACTGTCACCTTATCTTAAAGTGAGATTTCATATGCTCCTTCAGCTGTGAGGAAGTTTCAAATTCCTTTTTGCAAGATTTGCAGATGTGGATTCTACTGCCAGCCAACTCCTGACGATGTTCTTCCATRTGTATAGATAGCTGACTCTGTAGAGTAAATTCATCTCCACACTCTGAACATATAAGGTTCTGGAAGAGATAATACAGATTTTTTTAAAAAATATTCACAAAGGATAGCACATATTCAAGTTTTAATAGATGAGTGTATCCTCCTATGAATAGGGGCAGCTCGAACCAAACAGCAACAAAAGCCCAAAAGTGAAATAAGTTTGTGTATAAGTTTTCATCACGATAAATGATRAACCATAACCGGTACATGTTTATGGTATAATTTCCTTCTTAAGGAATCCACAAAAACTGAATCCTGAAGAAGTTTTTACAGTAACAAAAACAAACGCTTCAGCACCATTAGCACCACTAATTTGTTGCTAGACTATTTGAAAGTGCACAATGAAGCTTACTTCTAATACCTTGAGATTACAGTCTATTACATAAACAATTTGTAAATAAACAAAAAACCCACAACCTTTTCTAATAAAAAATATAATCTTAGATTCAGGATTTGAATTTTTGTTTATTAGTTAAAACTGTAGAGATTAGTACTTACTCTGTAGCTTAAATTCTACCATAGTTACCTCCACCATATCCCAAGTTATCCTCATACATGCAAGGAGGCAAAAATAATTTAGAGGCATAATAAGTACTACAGTATTTCTGACTGCAGATAGCTAAGAATTAAGAATAAGAGGCACAACATGTTCATCCTTTTAAAATTGAATTATGGAGTTTAATTAGTTACCTCTTCTTTCTCATGGAGCATTATATGAGCTTTCAGACTAGCTACCCTGGAGAATTTCTTGTTGCACACAGGGCACGTCGGATCTTCACCATTGTGGGTGCATTTATGAAGTGTCAAGTTGAATTCAACATTGAATGACATTGGACACTGGTCACATCGATGAGGCTGTTTGTGAAAATAGTAAAGATTAAGACAAAGTTCAATCTTCRTATATACTACATACATAAGCAACACTTGCAAGCATCCAAATCAAAATCTTTTTAAGAAGGACCTGCATCCAATAATGCAGGTCTAAAAGTACACCTTATAGTTTTAATTATTTTCTCTTCTTCAGGTCTCATTAGTGAAAAATACTCACACAATGTTTCAAGACTATTTGGGTAAAGATGACAGGGGAATTAAAGAAAAAGTATACTAAAAACTGTTCTGAAAGGAGTTAATGTAGCAAGAGAGAAGAATGAGTCATTAGAAGAGACAATAATWCATTTTCTACATTAACTGAGATATTAAACTTTCCTTAACTCATTTAAGAGTCCAACCAGTGAAGAGCAGAGCCCTCTGAGAACTGCAGCCGCAGTTTATACTGGGCCTGCCTGCTCTCCGTTTGTGCAAACAGCTCTCATTGTTCAAGAGCATCTTCCTTTTTACATATAATAGCTCCTACACGAGTACGGAATAATAGGAAGCATGACTTTAGATTCAATAAAGGTGAAGGAGGAGTTATCTTTACATAATTACACTTGTATATTAGCTCTTCATATTTATGGATTAACATTTTAAAATTATTGCATCTTTTAAGAATATATATCTATTATGTCTTCAAACATTATTAGAACTACTTTTCTATTATATGTAAGATATATTTAGCTTTGTAAAATAGAAACTAACAAACAAAAATTAAATACTTCAGATTATGTATGAAACCTGTGGAAAAAGCTCCATTTAATAAATCGGAGAATCTTCATCAGAAAGCTGTTTTTCTGCTGCTCTTTCCCAAACTAGACTTACAAGCAACTGACTGATGACATTAGTCGACAGGACAAAGACACACAGGACCATAAACCTTAACTTTATTGAAAATAACTGTAAGAGAGCAGCTGAGTCCAGCTAATCAATACAAATATTATTTTCTTTTTATTATTTCTATTTATTTATCTGATGTGCAGAATCAGTTTACAAATTCATTTAAAAAGAAATTGTATATTTTTTATCTACTTGAACATTATAAATCAAAGAAAATTGCTGTACAACAGCTAAAAATTACTGGCAACAAGATTCTAACTTAGCTCTATCAAGGCCTGGTTTCTCCCCACAGTGGTAATCATCAGTGACACAATTAAAGAAAATCCTGAATTTAGTTTCTTTTATCAAAACTTTTGTATTAGCTTTACTTATCAATATATGAATATATCAACATAGTCTGGTATTCTCTTAAGTTTATACCTGCTAGCATTCATACCTTGTCATTTTGCTCATGATCCCTCATATGGCGCTGGAACTGGGTCTCTTTTGGAAAGGACAGCAAGCAGATCTCACACTTACGGAAGTTCAGTAACTGGTAGGGAAAGTTGTTGTTCTCTATATCCAGTGTCAGAATGGCATCTACAAAACAAGCATCAAAACATGTGGTAGAATGTTTTATTTCATTTGGTTATAATTTACAGTAAAAACTGTGGGGTTTTTTTGGGTTTTTTTTTTTTTTGGAAGCAGAAACTATTCTGACTTTTTAAAGATTTTCATGTGTCAGCATCATACCTGGACAAGATTGCAACTTCACTAGATCTTTAAGATCTCTGGCATGAAAGATAAATTCACATCTGCTTCCATTGACCTGCAAGCCAAGGAATATATCCACCTAAGCAACTGCCTGTTGTCAGAATAAACACCTACTCCTAGTAATTTTAAATCATTTATTTCTCCATTTCATAAATATCCCATCCAGTTTGCAACAAAATAAAATGTTGCCAAATATGCCAAGCATAGAGTTACTAGCAAAAGCAACATTGCACTATGTGTTTCTAG